CAAGGATACACGTGCAGGTTTGTTACATAGGTAAATGCGTGTCATAGGGGTTTGTTAGACAGATTATTTCATCACCCAGGTATTAAGCCTAGTAACCATTAGTTATTTTTCCTGATCCTCTTCCACCTCCCGCCTTCCACCCTCTAATAGGTCCCAGTGTGTAGTGTTCCCCTCTATTTGTGCATGTGTTCTCATCATTCGGCTCCCACTTATAATCGAGAACATGTGATATTTGGTTTTTGTTCCTCTTTTAGTTTGCTAAGAATAATGGCCTCCGTCTCCATCCATGTTCCTGCAAAGGACATAACCTCGTTCTTCTTTGTGGCTGCATGGTATTCCGTGATGTATATGCACCACATTTTCTTTATTCAGTCTGCCACTCATGAGCATCTAGGTTGATTCCAAGTCTTTGCTATTGTGAGTAGTGCTGCAGTGAACGTATGCCTGCATGTGTCTTTATGATAAAATGATTTATATTCCTTTGGGTATATAATCAGTAAAGGGGTTACTGGGTCAAATGGTAGTTCTGTTTTTAGATCTTTGAGGAATTGCCACACTGTCTTTCATAATGGTTGAATTAATTTACACTCCCACCAACAGTGTGTAAGTGTTCCTTTTTCTCCACAACCTCAATAGCATCTGTTGTTTTTCAACTTTTTGACTGATAGCCATTCTGATTGATACAAAGGGGTATCTCATTATGGTTTTGATTTACATGCATTTCTCTAATGATCAGTGATGTTAAGTGTGTGAATTGTGAATTTTTTTAAGTGGTCACGTGTCTGTCTTCTTTTGAGAAGTGTTTGTTCATATCTTTTGCCCGCTTTTTAATGGGGATTGTTTGGGGTTTTTTTTCTTATAAATTTGTTTAAATTCCTTATTGATGCTGGATATTAGACCTTATCAAATGCAGTTTGCAAAATTTTTCTCCCATTCTGTACTTTGTCTGTTCACTCTGATGATAGTTTTTGTTTTGTTTTGCTGAGCAGAAGCTCTTTAATTAGATTCCATTTGTCAATTTTTGCTTTTGTTGCAGTTGTTTTTGGTGTCTTTATCGTGAAATCTTTGCCCATTCCTATGTCCAGAATGCTGTTGCCTAGGTTGTCTTCCAGGGTTTTTATAGTTTTGGGTTTTACATTCAAGTCTTTAATCCATCTTGAGTTAATTTGTGTGTATCATGCAAGGAAGGGGTTCTGTTTTAAGCTTCTGCAGTTGGCTAGCCGGTTATCCCAGGACCATTTATTGAATAGGGAATCCTTGCCCTATTGCTTATTATTGTCAGGTTTGTCAAAGATCAGATAGCTGTAGGTGTGCAGCCTTGTTTCTGGGTTCTCTGTTTTGTTCCATTGGTCTATGTGTGTTTTTGTACCAGGACCTGCTATTTTGGTTGCTGTTTGTTGCCCTATAGAGTTAGTTGTTTGAAGTCAGGTAGCATGATGCCTCCAGCTTTGTTCCTTTTCCTTAGGACAGCCTTGGCTATTTGGGCCCTTGTTTGGGTTCCATATGAATTTTAAATTAGTTTTTTCTAGTTCTGTGAAGACATTGGTAGTTTAATAGAAATAGCATTGAATCTATAAATTGCTTTGGAGAGTATGGCCATTTTAATAATGTTGATTCTTCTGTCCGAAAGCATGAAATGTTCTTTTCATTTGTGTCATCTCTGATTTCTTTGAGCAGTGTTTTGAAGTTCTCACAGAGATCTTTCACCTCCCTGGCTAGCTGTATTCCTAGGGTGCGTGTGTGTGTGTGTGTGTGTGTGTGTGTGTGAGAATTATGAATGGGACTGCATTCCCAATTTAGCTCTTGGTATGACTGTTGTTGGCGTATAGGAGTGTTAGCGATTTTGGGTTTTTTTGTGGGGTTTTTGTTGTTGTTGTGGTTGTTGTTGTTGTTGTTTGAGACAGCCTTGTTCTGTCACCCAGGCTGTAGTGCAGTGGTGTGATTGATTCTACTGCCTTAGCTTCCCGAGTAGCTGGGATTACAGGCACACATTCCCATGCCTGGCTAATTTTTGCATTTTTGTAGAGATGGGGTTTCACCATGTTGGCCAGGCTGGTCAGGAACTCCTGACCTCACATAATCTGTCTGCCTCCCAAAGCGCTGGGATTATAAGCATGAGCCACCATACCCAGCCACTAGCAATTTTATACGTTGATTTTGTATCCTGAGACTTTGGATGCATATCTTTTTAATAGCCTGCGTGATGAAGTAGGAAATATGCATAAAACATTTCTTCTGCATGTCCAGGTTAGATGGTTACCACACAGAAAACACCTCTGTGGCTGATTGAATTGCAAGCGGAACCAGCAGTTGTTTTTTATGGGACATCATCTCTATTTTAAAAATACATCTCTCCAGCAGATAAATTGTGGATATTCAGACCTGGTATTTGGTAAATCACTTCCTTTAGAAAGAATGAAGACAGCCTGACACTTCAAGAAACGTAATTGACAGTATCTCTTGCCAGTGATAAAATGCAAATTTTAAACAAAATCTAGAAGTGAAGAAAACTTATATTCACTACCTTGAGCTTGATAGCTTCAGTCAACGGTTTTCTGATGAGATTGATGGTGATGTTAACAAATGTAATTTTTTAATATTGTACAGGGGAATGTGTCCAGATTTGGATGTTATAGGTAAAAGGGTCTTCATACTAAAAAGTTTGAGAAATACTTGCCTAGTAGCGAATAGCATGGAGTTTGGGGCCAGGCTGCTTGGGTTCAAATCCCTGGGCTACTGCTTATTACTTGTATGATCTCAGGGAAGTGCTTCACCACTGGCTGCCTCAGCTTCCTCATCTATAAAATGGGGATAATAATGGTACCCATCTGTGAGAGGTATTGTAGGCATAAAAATGAGTTAATATGTATACATATAATATATATATTTAGTAATGTTAAAATTAATTATATATACATATAATATATATACACATATAATATATATATTTAGTAACGTTAAAATTAATTAATATGTGTAAGTGCTTAGAATAATGCCTGACTTACAGTAGGTGCTCAGTGAGTGGTTATTGTTGGTCTTGGTAAGTGAAAATTTGTAAAAATGAGCGAACACATTGTAAATGCACAGTAGAAGAAAGTTTTTTGTAATTATGTGGGAAATCCCAAACTGCTTTTCCTGCTGTTGCCTCTGTCTCACTTTTGTCCCTGGATGTGCACTTCTGGGAGTGATGCATTACTGAGGGCCAGCGTTTTCTCAGTCCTGCTTGTCCATTGAGTCCTGTTGTCTGGAGATCGTTCCTTATCTAGCAACCACAGAATGGGTTTTTAAGAAAGACTTGGTGAGGCAACATCGTTTTCAAGGGTGCAGTTAACTAAATGGAATTTAAACAGATTACCACTGTATATCCTTTGTGTTTTTAGAATTAGAAGTCACTTTCCTGCCTCAGCAATGTTTAAAATTACAGTGCATTTCTTTTAAGCTCAAAGAGTGGTGGAAATTATGTGAAAAAGAGGATAAGGTCTTGTTCATTATTGGTGTTCAAGACACCATAAGATTTAAAAGAGAGAAGGACCAACTTGGAAGGAAACTACATCTTCAGTCCTACAAAGAGACTACATTTGAGCTATTTTGACCTCTAACTTTTAAAAACCAGTTAATGACTTGTTGACGTTGTTCGTTCATTCACCAGTATTTGCTGAGTGCTTCCCATGAAGTGCCAGGCCCCTAACCCCATGTGTTAAAGAAAAGTCATGGGCCCTGCCCTTCTGGTATGAGTGCATTTGGGTTTTCTCATTTCTCCTGCCTGCTCTGTAAAAGATTAGGAGTGTTCATCTGCTATTCCCTGGCTTACATCAGCAGACAGAGCAATACATGTTTTAGCCTTCTTAAATGTTCATGAAAACATTCTTAAGTTAGTATAAGGTAAAGAAGATAAGACAGACTACAAGAAATTTCTGATCGTTTCTTTTCCTAAAAGAACACAAACAGAATCACTTATTTTTTGAAGTACTGATCATAGGCACGTTAAGTTCATGTTTGATGGTTAATAACAACCAACCAGAATATGTAAGTCATTGGAGTTTCACTGACTTAAGTGGTTTCTGCTGTCCTAAGAGAAGTAGGCCCTCTAAAAGAGCTCATTTGGGTCCATCTGTCTTATGTGTCATCCCACATCACTCTGCATGTGATGAGAATGTTGCGTGGGCCCGTGACAGTTTTTATTCCTCGCTCTAGACTTGGCCATACCTCAAGTTCTTTGGGCGTATATAGTCACCTGTTACATAGGTTCAAAGTGGTCTTTCCTTTCATTTTAGGAGTATGTTTTGCAAGCAAATCACAAAGCACCTTGAATATCTTTTTAAGATAATGTTGAAAAACAGAGCAGTAGTATTATTGAGATCATGTTCTTACTGATATACTAACATTTTAAGATTTGAGGGCATTTCCCTCCTACGAGGCTAGGTATTGGAAATAAGAAATCAGGTCAAGCTAAAAGCCAAAGAAGTGTTTCTTGAATGCAGGCTAGGATTGAATTGTATTAATTCAGTTGAATTCAATCTCAGCATCTGTTGTGGGTTTTAGCCGTGTTCCTGTTCCCGAGCATCACGGCTAGGACCTTCAGCAAACTTTACATCTCAGTAAGTGCAGTTGGCCTTTTACAGATAAATTGCTTGGAAGTCAGTTAACCTGAGCACGCGAACAAAGGCTGTGATTGTATTGTGTTGTTTCTCTTGACACTAGATCTTCTGTTCTTTGATTCATTACTATTAGTGTTAAAGAATTAAATATTAACTGCACATTGTTTTCTAAACAAAGTCACAGTTGTTATAAAGCGAATTTCTCTTTTCATAGCAATGTTTCTGGTTTGACAGGTTCTACCCGTTGTGTCTCATCTTTGCAAGGACTTTTGCCCTTGTGAGGTAACCAGCTGTGATGTAGGGCTCCAAACAGATTGAATGTTTCTGTGATGAAAACTCATGCACTCGTTGAATTGCAGATTCTAATCCTGTGTTTTACATGTGTGTGCTTATGTGTTTCAGGAAAAAAGTGCCAGCTCAAATGTCAGACTTAAAACTAATAAAGAGGTTCCGGGATTAGTTCATCAACCCAGAGCAAAGTAAGTTCTAGTTCCTGTTTTCCTTACACAGTTGGCCTTCCATGTCCATGGATTCTGCATCTGTGGGTTCAACTAACCATGGATCAAAAATATTCAAAAAATAATAATTCTACAAAGTTCCAAAAAACAAAACTTGAACTTGCCACACACCAAGTACTATGTTGAATTCATGTGAATGAAATGTCGTGTAGGCACTGTATTAGGTCTTATAAGTAATCTAGAGATGATCTAGAGTATACGGTAGGGTGTGTGGGGGTTATACAAATACTATGCCATTTTATATCAGGGACTTGAGCATCTGCAGATTTTGGTATCTGCAGAGAGGTCCTGGAACCAATCCCCCACAGATACCAAGGGACAACTGTATGGTTTTTAAAGCTAAAAATGTTTTCAGAGTGACCATTTTGCCTACCAGGTAATCAAGACCTATAATATAAAGCTTTAGTAATTGAGAAAGTGTGGTTTGGTGTAACAGAACAGAATAAAGCAAACAGACGTACAATATGTGACAAAGCTGACTTTGTAGGCCAGTTAGAAGAAAACAGAGAAGAATATCACTATGGCCATGAGGTAGGGAAGAATTTTGAATAAGACACAAAGGATGTAGGTCTTAAGGCAAATCATTCATTAATATGACTGCGCTAAAATTAAGAAGCTCTTAAAGATAAAACCCAAATGTTCATTGAAAATATAATGAGTAAACTGTGACATCTTCTTGTGATGGGAATACTATACATCAGTGAAAATGAGTGACTATAGGTACACATACATGATGGAGGAATCTCATAAATATAAAGATGAGGCAGTAGAGTAAGCAGCAGTACATGCCTATATATGATTTCATTGATATAAAGTAAAATAAAAAACAGGCAGAACTAAGGCATGTGTTGTAAATTAGTATATGATAAAGCAATAAAGAGATATAAGGAAATGAAAAGGCTTTAGTTCTTTCTAACCAAATGGAATACAGTGGAACCAGAGGCTCTGTTTCTTAATCTGGGTGGTAATTACATGAGCGTTCAATTGTTATTATGCAAAAAATGTACAAATAGCATTATATGTCTTCTGTGTATTAGGTATATCACAATTGGAAAGTTAAAAAGAAAAAATTTTAACTTGGAAAAAAGAAAAGAATATATCACATTAGGATCTATACAGTACCTAATACATTTTCCCACTTACAGTAGAAATTTGAAAATATGATTGTTGAATACCAATAGATGACTATACCTGAATGTTTCATTTAAAAGGTCAATGCCTGTTCAAGTTAAAAACAATAATTAGTAGTTTTCTAGACTGTTCTAGAACTGACTCTAACCTTAATGATGAAATGTACTTTGTGTGACTTTGAGGCAGTCCTCTCCTTCAAAGAGGCTGTGTTAGCCCAGAGGCTACCAATCTGTTATGGTGTTCCACCTAAATGCAAATTAATTTTTTGAAAGTACCAATGACACCGGTGCATTTGACAGTCACCCCCCACCCCAAAACAAATTTGACTATTATATGTATATATGGATAACCCCATAACTCGAAATCATAAGCAGAAGAAGGTATGTTATCTCTGGTTCTTCCAGAAGATTGCAACAAAAAGTTACCTAGTTCATAATCACTTTAACCTGGCTCAGTGTCTGTGGAATCGCTGCTGCCAATGGCCACTGTGGTGTCACAGTGAGGAGACCTCAGGGGGTAGGTAATGGGCTCTGTGATTTAATTTTTACTTTCAAAGAAAACTGGACATGTTAAAATCCACTTACCATTTACCATGTCAGTGTAATGATGCGGCTGATGTTCTCACCCTTGGGTAAATGTGCTGCAGCCACAACCTCCCTAGCCCACTTCACTGCTGATCACTTTCATCCACTTTATCTGCCTTTGGGGACAGCAGACATCTGATAACACAGCCAAACCACCTTGTCATCCAAGATGTCTGAAATACGCTATTTTTAAATGCTTCCCTTATCTCAGAGTTATAAAGAGAGATTGAATGGAGGAGAATTTCTCCTTTCTGTTTGAAAGAATACTTACTCAACTTTGACACTGAAGCAGCACACTTCACAGACTGGTGTGTGCTGAAGCTTTCAGAGGAGAAAATTCTGTTTTCCACACAGCAGCATGCCGGGGTGTGTGTGTGTGTGTGTACATGTACATGTATGTGGACACGTGTATATGTATTTTAAACTGTGAATCAGAACATTAGATGCCTGGAATTCAATTAAGAAATCTTTCTGGAGGGCCAAGAGAAGAGTTTCACTTTCCTACTTGCTGACATACAGGATCAATTTACTACACAGATGCATGAAATAAGATGACGCTTCTTTTTCCCCATGAGTGGAAGGACAATCCCATACCCTAAAGGCAGATCATCCTCATAGCATCATGAAGGCATGTCATCCTCATACCTTCATTTAATTTGATATCAAGCAAGTGATATACTGTCTTTGGCCTTCAGTTTTCTCAGAGGGAACTGGAAGTGAAAAATCCTGTTTTGTGGGCCTGGGGAACAAATGAAACAGGGTATGCTCACTGCTTATCACATCATCTGGCACTTGGTAAGAATGCCTTAAATAATAGAAACAACCCAAATGCCTTTCACAGGAGGTGGTGTGAATGCACAACACTATATTCACACAATAGGTTATCAGTCAGCAGTTCAACCAGATGCACAGCAGCAATGCACAGTATCGGATGGGCCCTGGCAGTATAATATTACAAGAAGAGTAAGTCCTGAAAGATTACATAGAACGTCATGCACTCTATAAAGTTAAACACAGCTGAAATAATCTGTCTTTTAAAGGCACACGTAGAGATGTGTTAAAACTATGGAAAAGGAAAGTGAGGGAGTGATAGTTACATTGGGTTGTGGAAACACGCCCGCAGATAGGAGCTGATGTGGAGTCGGCTGCAGAAACACACCCGCGGACAGAAGCTGACGTGGAGTCGGCTGTGGAAACACACCCGCGGATAAGACTAACATCGATCAGCTGTGGAAACACACCCGCGGACAGAAGCTCACGTGGAGTCGGCTGCGGAAACACACCCACGGATAGGAGCTGACACTGAGTCGGCTGTGGAAACACACCCGCGGATAAGACTAACATGGTGTCAGCTGTGGAAACACACCGGCGGATAGGAGCTGACACGGAGTCAGCTGTGGGTTGTTTTCAAGGTCCTCACTTTTGTTTTTATTTTTGATTTCACAGGTGTTTATTATGCTGCTTTTAAAGAACAAAGTAATTAACAAAATAAATAAAAGTGAGCTATACATGAACTCCTAGGAGGAATCCGCCACAGAATGAGGGTTAGGATGAATCTGTTTTCCTGAGGTCCAATTGAAAACTAATGATGATCATAAAGAAAATACTGTATTCAGGCCCAGACTTACCAGGAACCCTCTTGGTAACTGAATTTCAGTTTCGTAGGGGAGGCAGAACTTTATGCCAACCCTCTCAGGGTTTCTGGCTGGTCCTGAGAATTAAATTGACATAAGACAGATTTAACAGGAGAAAAGCATATCAGTTTCTGTATGTACGTGGGAGCCCTATAGGAAAATGAAGACCCAGGAAGTGACAAACCCACATATCTGTATACTAGGTTAAACAAACAGGCAGTTGTGGAAAACCACCTGAAATATGTGGGGAGACTAAAGGAAACAAAGAATTATTATTATTTTTTTTTTTTGAGACAGAGTTTCGCTCTTGTTACCCAGGCTGGAGTGCAATGGCGCGATCTCGGTTCACCGCAACCTCCGCCTCCTGGGTTCAGGCAATTCTCCTGCCTCAGCCTCCTGAGTAGCTGGGATTACAGGCACGTGCCACTATTCCCAGCTAATTTTTTGTATTTTTAGTAGAGACAGGGTTTCACCACGTTGACCAGGACGGTCTCGATCTCTTGACCTCGTGATCCACCCACCTCAGCCTCCCAAAGTGCTGGGATTATAATAATTCACGCTCAGCCGCAAAGCATTATTTTAACAAGGCCTCTTAGCACAGAGTTCTCTTGGCCTTGACTCCCTGTCTCTGGTGATGAGAATGTTTCTCTCTTCCTGGTCTTGGGAGGGCATTGTTCACGTGGGAGTTTCATCTCGTACTTTCAGGAAGAAATGAGGAGGTCAGAATTCCCCTCCTGCACCTGCTGTTTTCATTTGCCTTTAGCTCAAAATAATCCTTATGCCAAAGTGGTCATATCTTAGGATGGCTTATTCTGCCCTGCTTCACTGGTGAGATATTAGGGAATTTGGACTTTGTCTCCTCATACTCTCGTGCTTAACTTTTTATCATTTGCAAATTTTAATTTTTAAGACACTAAAAGTGAAAGCCCCATATCTTCTACCTCTAAAGCCCATTTTGCCCACCATTCATTAATTTGTTTAATTTGCATTAAGATGTCATAGTATTGTCATCCCTAGTCCCATAAAGCTGAGAAGTCTCAGGAAGAAGCATGTTTGAGGGTGCAGCGTTAACTCACAAGAGCTTTGTCAGCGCTAAGGGCCACAGCGAGTGTTCCAGTGGCACAGTGAGTTTTCAAGGTTGAGTTTTAGTTACTAGAGAGAAATAGGAATTACCAAAATCATCAAGCCTTATTGGCTAAGTCAGGTACCAAGGTGCAGGCTTTTGTAAGTGAATATTGATGAATCTTAGAATCAATTATTCATCTTTTATAAACTTCAGTAATAAACAATTCAGTGATCCCTTTCTAATACCTTAAAAAAAAAAATAGAAAGTCAATGAGCTTTTCCTCCTCATCTCCCCCACTCACAATGAAAGGATTTTAGGATCAAGTCATTATGCAGGGGCTATTTTCCACGGTGTAGTTTGTACTCTTGAAGGTAGACACATATTCATGCCACTGTGTGGATAAGTTTCTTCCACATGGAAAGAGGGGACTCAGATTTATCTAGGTGGGAATCAGTTGATACGGGATAATTTATTTTGTCAGTGAAAATTCTGTCTCTGTCTCATTGAAGAAGTTTCTCTGCTTCTGTCTGAAACAATCCCATGAAGAACTGCGGAGTAGGCCTCATGCTTTCAGATGGTACCCCACCAGAGATGATGCACAGGTGACCCATGTGGGTATTTGCTCCCCTGGCCATGTCTGACAGTCTCTGTTGCTTCCAGTGACCATGCAGGCTATCTGGAGGAGCCTGTCTGGTGCTCCAGGCTTTAACAATCACAAAGCTCCCTTCCATTCAGTCTTTTCTAACACAACCCATGCACTGTACTTGAAGATGTGAAGACAGTGACTCAGTCTGGTGTGTGCCTCTTCTTCTTGGGTTATAAGATGTGGCAAAGGCAGGCAGGCGTGTTCTGATGATCTTAGACAAAGCAAAAGCAGGCAGCATTGCTATATCATGGGACGGCACAAAGCTGAAACCCCTGAGAGTTTTGTGGTTGCTTTCCCATATAACCATCCCAAGATCCTTAGCCAGCACTTTTGGTCTCAGGCTCCTGATAGGGACCCCTTACCCTGTGATAAGTGCGTTCTTAATCACAGAAATGGCGGATGCATTTGCAGAGGTACTTTTATTTGAAAATTCTCCCTCTTGTTCCTCTCGTATGCATATGTATGAGTACTGACCAAATGTGGATGTTTTCTTGTTGTAGTATTTAAATAAAGGAGCTAATGGAAGTTAGTGACAATCATAGACAGAAGGGACCCCAGGGACCAGCCCTGGTTTTATAGATAAGGACTCAGGCCCTGCATAACACCCGTGCTGACAAACTCCGATGCTTCCGTGACGGGTCATGAATCATGTGAATTTAGATAGGAGGACTCTGTCCGTTAATTAAGAAATATTTTTTGCCCTCCTGTTATATTCAAGGCAATATATGCTAAAACCTCCAACCAGTGAGTTTCAGCAATGAACATCAAATCCTAAAAATGCCATTTTTTTGAGGTCTCTGGAATATTTTCTAGGACAACATTTCTGGGGCAACATAATACATGTGGTTATCTATCTATCCAGTTACCTGTATTAAGAGAGAGCAATCTGGCCAGGCGCAGTGGCTCACACCTGTAATCCCAGCACTTTGGGAGGCTGAGGCAAGTGGATCACCTGAGGTCAGGAGTTTGAGACTAGCCTGGCCTACATGGTGAAACCTTATCTCTACTAAAAATAAAAAAAATTAGCTGGACGTGATGGCTCACCCCTGTAGTCCCAGCTACTTGGGAGGCTGAGGCAGGAGAAAGGAGAATTGCTTGAACCTGGGAGGCAGAGGTTGCAGTGAGCCAGGATTGTACCATTGCATTCCAGCCCAGGCGACAGAGCAAGACTCTGCCAAAAAAAAAAGAGAGAGAGAAAGATCTTAATGGCTTTCCCATCTGGAACCTGGAGCTGTCCAGCAAACTGACCTCTTAAGACCTTGGCCATGAACATAAAAGACATTCAAAAGGAGCCTGAGCAGCCAAAACAGGTGACAGAATATGGATGTTTCCACTCACAAGAAAGCCCCAGTCTCCCCCACAGAGTCTGCTTCTACTAATTTTACACACAACTCTAACCAACTTGGCTGTGCCGTTTCCACGCGGAAAGAAGTAGAAGAAAGCTGAAAGAGGATGGACACCATGCAGACAAGAAGAAATGAGAGTAAAACCTCAAAAGCAGGCAAAAAACAAATGCCCTGGAGATGGAAGCCATTTTGCTTAAAGCGAACCAGCTCAACCCATCTAGTGGTTCTGGGTATCACAGTATTAGGAAGAGCATTGTAATTTAAGACCATGGAAATGGCCTCTCATTATTAAGTGAAAGGTAAGAAATGTTTGAGAGAGATCCTCTATTATGAAAGTATGAAATTTAGAAAGATTTGCATCCAACATGGCTCAAATAAAAAGTGTTTTGGTTCTTGAGACAGTGAAAACATGAGAACCTGGGAAAACTCAGCTATGCAAACCAGCTTTTCTGCCCAAGGTCTATAGAGAGGAGGCAGTTTAGTGTACTCTCACTATCCCAGATTCTGTTCTGCCTTACAAACCTGCAGTAAGAGAGGGCATGTTTCCCAAACAAAACATTGACCTTGTTTGAATGGTCAGATAAAAGGCAGAAAAGTTCCATGTTACATGTGGCTTTGTAAACCACGAACACTGGTTAATGGTATGAGATAGATGTACATTGTTTTTCTTTCATAGCCGAGTTGATGTCATTTCTCACAGATTTTAAATGTTGCTTTTACACCGAGGGGAGAACTTCCTCTGAGCTTCAGGCCCCACTGTCTGTCACGGGAAGTTTGGAAGGTTTCAGGTCACTTGTGCCCCTCCCTGTGGCCCCTAAAGGATAAGGCATGATGTTAAACGGTCCATCTGATGGGCTTCTTATCACACTTGGGTATAAAGGAAAGAAGCCGTTCCAGAGCCCACGCTCCACCCCGTCCCTCAGACAGGACAACCAGTAGAAACTGATAGTAACTGAAGGAAATGCTGTGTGATAACATCTCTTATCCAGCATCCCTCACCTCCTTGGAACACCCACAGCTATCTACTAGGTAGAAACAACCGTCATTAAGACCATGTTACCACTAAGCCCCATGCTCTTCCCATCTCTGATTCATCCCTGCTCTCCTTACCATGTTATTTTTGTCTACACCAGACATGTCAGCTGTGTCACTAAGTAAGCTGTTAAATGCCACAGGACAAGAAGCACAGAGCAAATGCTACTCAGACATGCGTTCTGCCACATTCCAATGGAATTGTACTTTCAGGGGGTGTCTGCCGCCATTGCGGAAAGTGCTCAGAAGCAGTATAGGTCATCTGTATGTCGTCAGCTTGATTGCCACTAGCCCACACTGATAGTCAGCTGGAGATCATGCTGATACCGACAACCTTTGTAAAATATGTATTTCAATACAATAACTAGGATACATTTTCTTTTTTATTTTTCTTTTATTTTCAATGCAGCGTTGAAATATGCCGTGTGCTGCTTGCTCATGCTTTTTTTAAAAAAATCACAAATGTGTATCTGAAGAATGAATTTGGCATGCAGCTCCTAGTAACATTACTATAAATAGCATCTGTACATTGAAAGGAAATTGTCTTCCTTTAAGTCATAGGCACCGATAGACTATTATGAAACACATTTGCAGGATAACTGTACTGTTTATCCTAAATGTAGCTTCAGAGTATTTCAGTGGAAAAGTCTGCAATAAGTAAATGTCTGCCCCAAAGTCTGGGGACTCAGCATCTCAGCATTTTTCCCTTGAGGGGACCAGGTTTAGCAAAGCACTGAAACACACACTGAACTACCCTTTGTTTTTCAGCATGCACATTTCTGAAAGCCAACAAGAATTCTTCAGAATGCTGGATGAAAAAATTGAAAAGGTAAGAAGTGGAATAAAAGACCTACATCTTTCTTTCTTTTTTTTTTAATTGCATTTTAGGTTTTGGGGTACATGTGAAGAACATACAAGATAGTTGCCTAGGTACACACGTGGCAGTGTGAGTTGCTGCCTTCCTCCCCTTCACCTATATCTGGCATTTCTCCCCATGCTATCTCTCCCCAACTGCCCCCCCAAGACCTACGTCTTTCAAGGGAAGTATACTAATGGCTTCATATATGAGGGCAATAACATTCTTGTTTCTATGTCATAAAGCTATTTTTGTGAAGGATTGGGTGGAGAGTTAAATAAAAGTCACCACCCTTCCAAAACAAAGTGTGTGTGAACACGTTTACTATAGAATAGAGACTCCCAGAACCCAGGACTGTCCTTGCTTATTAAAGTATGTAAGTCAGTTGGAAAGCAATAAGCAGTCTTTTTTCCTAGACAGAGCGTTCTGACCACTGCATGCCATTTTGCACCAATGCCCGTACTAACCTCAGACTGCAAGGGGGCCCTCAGTATCTGCTGAAACCTGTCAAAGGCCTATGCATGGCACTGCTCTGAATTCTTTGCAAACGTGTTATACCTAATTCCGTTTATACTTATCTCAGGATAATGACATTGAGACAGGTATTGTCTACATTTTATAGAAAAGGAAACTGAGGCTCAGAATGCTTGAGTCATTTACCCATATTTTCAAGCCTAACAGTGGACTAGTGGGAATTCCAGCCCAGGTCTATCTGACTCCAAAGCAGTGTCTCCAAGTTACTTCTCTGGTAGTGTCTGGGGATTTATATTGACAGGAAGATACAAAGTTGATCTGTGTGGAAATTGAACCCACAGTTTTGATTTCAGTGTGCCGTGTGCTAATGAACAGAGCAAAGTATGGAATATAGTCATAATTAAGAGTTTACATACTTCTAGAATTTAAATTCATCTCTGCCAAGGGGTGAATTTTAAATGTTAAAGTTGCCAATTCGAATATTATAATTTTCTTATTCTAAAGAAGAGTGAAATCCTAAGTTCAGAACATATCACACTACAGTTAAGGCAAAACCGGCTGATTTTACACTTGAAATCTTTTCAGTTTTAATATGTATTTCTTTTTTACTTTGTGTTGCCTTTTATTTTAGTATTTTTAATGAATTCCTAAGTTATGATGTGTATCACTCAATGGAATATGATGAAGGAGGTCTTAAATTCATTCGTATGTAGCAGCAGATCCCACTTTGAGACGGACCCTCTGAGAGAATAATTGTATAATCTTCTAAGCCACCATTAAAAGACCAGCAGAGATAACAATGTGAAAAATAGAGATGAATAGTGAATTAAAATGAGAGTTAAATCTATAGTGTTCCCTGGATGTACATACTTATTGAAGTATAATATTTTTTTATTTTCAATGAAATTGTGGCTTATGAATGACTTTCTAAGTTGGAAACTTTATCCAGGAATAGTTGCCAAGTTTCACATACTGGTTCAAAAGCTGTTAAATTTGTCAGTAATGTGTTCTAATAAAGAGAAGCATAAAAAGAAATACAGGTTAAATATCCCTAATTCAAAATCCAAAATGCTCCAAAATCTGTAACTTTTTGAGTGCAGACATGATGCTTGGATCATTTTGGATTTCTGGACTAGGGTTGCTCAATGGGTAAGTATATGTAACCCAAATATTCAAAAATTCAGAAATGTTCAAAATTCAAAACACTTCTGGCCTTGGGCATTTCAGGTAAGAAATACTGAACCTGTATTTTCTTCCCACTAGAATGATGAAGATGTTTTATTCCTCTCTTTATTTGGACTTTACCTGACTAGCTTTTTGGCCAGAAAAAGATGTATGTAGTACATAGGGGTAGACAGTAAAAGTTGAAAACTGAATTTTAAGTTATCTTTTTAAACAACACTTACAAACACTAAGGGTGATCTAATCTATAGTGTGTGTGTGTGTGTGTGTGTGTGTGTGTGTGTGTGTGTTTGTTTGTTTTTTGAGACAAGGTCTCACTTTGTCGCCCAGGCTGGAGTGCAGTGGTGCAATCTCAGCTCACTGCAGCCTGCAGCCTCCACCTCCCAGGTTCAAGCAATTCTGCCAAGTAGCTGGGATCATAGGTGTGTGCCACCACTAATTTTTGTATTTTTAGTAGAGACAGCGTTTCACCATGTTAGCCAGGCTGTCCTGAACTCCTGACGTCAGGTGATCCACCCACCTCGGCCTCCCAAAGCGTTGGGATTACAGGCATGAGCCACGGTGCCCAGCCCAGTGTATTTTGTAATTGAAACTCTACCTCCTTTTACTCGAAATTGAAGTTCATTGCCCCCACCTGAAATTTGAGATCCCCTTTTGCTTTTGCATCCAGAATGTAGAGTATGATTGTAGTACAACAAAAATAAAGTTTATAACTTGATCATTTATCGGATGGAAGCTTCCCTGGACAAAGGAGCATTGATAGATCCAACATAAACACTATTTCCACTATTGAATACATTTTCATTCGAAGAAGAGCTGTGTATCGGTCATAACATGTGCCCAGCTATAGAGTCTTACAGGCAATTTTCTATTCTCTCAGCCGTGCCTTCCTGCCTCTCCTCTCTCAGTTAAAGTTCATCTTTCCAAATATTTTGAATATGCTATCTTATGTATCATTTAAACATTAAGCCTCCAAAATTAAAATGCTCCTCCTTAATATATGAGTTTGCTTAATGTAATCTTCACCATAGTTTATATAACCAAAATTGAAAGTTGGTTCCTGGGCATTTACCATTGCCAAATATTTATTTGGTGCAGGCTAACATGAGGACAACCATAAATGCAAGTCACATCCATTCTTTAGATTTTAGAGAGTTGGTTAAAAAAAGAAAGACGATTAAACTCACCTAGAGCTTCATGTTGAGATATTGAGTCCTGCTGAGTGACCTTGAGTTTTAAGATTTCATCTCTCCCAAAAATGTCCAGTAATTCTTTTTTTCTCCTCTAAATTAATAAGAAGCAAAATTGACGGAACCTATGGAGATGTAAACCTGCCCTTCCTTGATGCAGCCTTTCCATTTATTGGATGTCTTTAAGGCATGGTTTGAATTTGCCTTCTAACCTGATTTGTCTTTGGATACCAAAACACAAATTCTGCTCTTTCTCAAAATAGATGAAAAGCCCCAATAGTACACAGAAACTGGGACTAAAAGGTGGTTTAATATTTATAGTAAAGCTTAATTTGCACATGTTGGACTACTCTAATTCAGAGATTGTCGCAGTGCAGAGTTTACCTCTGCATCACAGCAGAACAAATGGTTTTCTAAGAAGTTACGGTGACCAAGAAAAAGCAAGTCGCAAAAATGCAATTTAAAAAAACCGATTCAGCCGGGCACGGTGCTCATGCCTGTAATCCCAGCACTGTGGAAGACTGAGGCAGGCAGATCAGTTGAGGTCAAGAGTTCGAGACCAGCCTGACCAGCATGGTGAAAGCTTGTCTCTAGTAAATATATAAAAATTAGCCAGGTGTGGTGGCATGTGTCTGTAATCCCAGCTACTCAGGAAGCTGAGGCAGGAGAATCACTTGAACCCAGGAGGTGGAGATTGCAGTGAACCGAGATCTCGCCACTGCACTCCAGGCTGGGCAACAGAGCAAGACTTTGTCTCAGAAGAAAAAAAAAAAAGACTCAGCACCTACTAAATACTATACCAAGCATTACGCTAGTTACTCAGGATACAAAATTAGATGGGAAATATGGAGTGCAATATAAATAGGAAGCAGTTTGCTTTGACAAATTCAATTTTAAAAGTGAATTTTTTAAATCTCATTATTTTTCTGATCGAGGAATCCTTCATCCGTCACCACCATCACCCTGTCACCCCCACCAGCATCCTCCCCTTCACCCTGCTGTTGTCACTGTCACTGGGAGTGAGGTTCTCCTCTGTGGGTCACAACTAGTTGCCCCCTAAGCTGGTTCAGGGGTTGAAACTTCAGTTTCTTTAACCAGGCACTTGGGACTTAGTACCATTTCACTATGCGGGTGGTGGGCGGCCATGCCACTGTGGCAGCCGGAGGTGACGAAGAGAGACAGATTGTCAGGAGAGCAGTGAAGGTTCAGAGAAGCTTGTAATTAGATTTACTTTTGCTTTTTCCTCTTGGAGAGTGAAAACACTGTGAACCAGTGGGAGCCACCTCACTTCTGTTCACCTCATTATTTTTCACTCTGCTATCTAACCATCATTATTCCAATGGAATCTAGTTGCTGTTGTGCCTCATGATTCACAGGCCCCTAGAATCTTATTTGAAGTGTTAGCATTTGCCTAACTTTGTGGTTTTAAGAAGATGACACTTTTCTGCAGAGCAACATAGTGATTTTAAAACTTCCTTTTTTTCAATGTACCTAGAGAAGAAAGATGGTATCTAGATTAAAGCAGCCTGCGGAGGAGTTTCTGAATAGAATACCAAATACAGGTGACATCAGGTGTTATGATATGCTTTCCGCTATAGATTCCAGTTCATTTGCACAAAGCAAAAAAAGTAAATAAAGTTTTTAGGTATCTGCAGCCTTAGTATCTTCCACAGGCAAAGACAGGGATTTGTATTTTGCTTTATAAAGATGTAAAACACTGGCTGATGACCAGGGAGTCCTTGGCTTCCTCAAAGAGGATCCTGAATATGACGCAAAGAATACAGTACAGTGCCATTTGCGCCTGGTTACTTTTCTGATGGAAGGCTTCTTAAACTTTGTTGGGCCTTGTACATTTTTTTTTAGAGTCTTGTAAAAGTTACAAAGACTCTCCCTATGAAAGTGCACAAATCATATTCACAAAAATTTTAAGTGTAATTTCTGGGTCTTAAGACTTCATGGAGCTTGGCCATAGGCTCCATGCAAAGAAACTGGATTTCTTTATTATGTATCATGCTTACATGCTTCCCTCAGCTCCAGGTCCCAGCCACAGTCGTGAGCATGCATGAGCCTAGCTGACGACCTCATCCGTAGATGGTTGTGACTTTAAAGAGGATTAGGGAACTGAGTACAGATGACACCATACAAACTCGTTCTTCTTCCTTTCTTATATCCCCTCCTTCTTCCTCTCCTTAAAAATAGTTCATGGTCTCCTGAGGGAGAGCCGTGAGCATGCCTGCTGCATCTCACATATTGCTGTGTGATCTTGAGATGCTTAGGAAACTTGTTCAATGAGTGAATGGTGCACATGAGAACACTGGGCTTCAAATGGAGACAGAAGCATACATAGGCAGGAAATGTGATCTGGAAGACTCCTAGAGTAGAGCTCTCTACTTGGAGCAGCATAGCAGGTATAGAGCAAGCGCAGAGCCAGGTAACTGGATGGACAGAGGTCTAGGGTACAAGGCAGCATGGTGCAAGAGAAACATCCTGTGCTTCAAACCTGGGCTAGAACCAAGGACCGGCTCCGGCAGGAGCTGTGTGACTCCAGGTTAACTTAAACTCTCTGATCCTCAGTTTCCTCACTAACAAAATTCGAGAAATAATACTAACTTGTCTGGGATATTGAAGAAAATACACGTAGAGTCTCCAGTAATGTTTGACAATGTTGTACATGCTCTGTAATTGATAGCCTTCATTTTGGTTGAAGTTGCCTATATTTGTAACATCAAGGCCATTTATATAGGAAGGATTTGGGATAGGGTTGGCGGACAGTGCGAAAACAGAACGTGAAAATGCAGAACTTAGCAACTTGGATCCCGCGTGAGTAAGTGCCTTCCTATGGTACAAATATCTCCTTGTAGAAAGAGTATTAGCATCGCACACTCTCCAGTGCATTGATCCACCTCCCTCTTGTGTGGTATAATATACATGTTCAGGAGTTAGATTCTTGTGACCACTTCCAGATCCATTAAATAAACTGTACTAACTTTGGAGCTGTGATTACAGAATGAGTCAGTGAGTCTGTGGCATGGATACCTATATATTTTTTTCTGTTTGGAAGTTTCAGTCTTTTTTAATTGTTGTGTCTCATCTGAGAGGCTTTTATAAGCCTTTTAAAAGATATTCATTGGCCAAGTCTAGTGGCTCATGCCTATAATCCCCGTACTTTGAGAGGCTGAGGTGGGAAGATCACTTGAGGCCAGGAGTTTGAGACCAGCCTGGGCAACATAGCAAGACCCTGTCTCTACAAAAAATAAAATAAAAATTAGCCAGGCATGGTGGCATGCACCTGTAGTCCCAGCTACTTGAGAGTCAGAGGCAGGAGGATCCCTTGAACCCAGGAGTTTGAGGTTGTAGCGAGCTGTGATCATGCCATTGCACTCCAGCCTGGGTGACAGAGCAAGACCTTGTCTCTTTAAAAAAAACTATTAATATCAGCCTCATTATGCTTTTAACAACAAAGGAAAATATTAAGAAAGGGGCTCCAAACTAAATCATAGAAATTGGAAGGCTGACTTAATTGATTCTTTTAATAAGCTTAACATGAACATGTTCTCTGGACCCAGAAATGAGCCAGGCCCATGAGAGGTACATAATGAGAAATTCGAAAATAAGATTCTTGTCTTTAGGGAGCTTCAAATCTGGAAGAATAACATTTTGCATCGTAAGGAACTTCAGAGAATATCTTATTGAATTTACCCTTAACTATTTCATCTTCCGCTAATTAGCACCCTCCATAGCAAAGAATGAGACATGCCCATTCATATCAGCTGGGAAGGAATTATGTGGCATATTATGTTCTGAACATTGCTGGGAAAATGTATTCTGAAATATCTTGTGATTTCTGTGTACTTTATTCCTCTCCTTCAAAATTCTATTGCGTGCAGGCACATTCTGCTCTGTTCCTAGGGAAAGCATTCTTGGAGCAGACACTTCTAGACTGCCCTCACTTCAATTCCATTTTTCTAAGTTGATTCAAAATGGAGTACCAAAAAATTTTCAGTTCATGTTTACAAAATCGCTTGCTGGAGGCTTAGAGATGCTTAATCATACCCTGCCTCTTTTCTGGGTCCCTTATAAATTGAAAACAGACACAGGAAGCCAGATGAGTATCATGGTAAGTATCTACCTTATTAACAGGCCAGACGATTCGCAGGTGCGGATCCAGAGCTAGTTTGGAATATATTCCAAACACTTAAAACATCAAATGATTTGTAGACATAATACGTAAAGAAGTAATCTTAGTACAAACCAGTAAAATCAACTAAACCACAGTAAAGTTCACTGCAGCATTCTTTATTCAATAGCAAAAAAACTGGAAGCAAACTAAGTATCCACCAATGAATAAATGAATAATGAAAATCCTCCATATTCCTACAGTGCAGTATTACAATGTTATCCAACAGTTAGGAGACATGAACAAGGCATATATATATATATATAGAGAGAGAGAGAGAGAGAGAGAGAGAGAGAGTCATAATTATAGATTTCAAATACAATTATTAAGTGAATAGAGGATTATGCAGAATGATAAAAATTGTATGGTACTGTATACATTAAAAACACAAAAATACATTGTTTATGGATGGACATTCAACAAATATTTATTAAGCACCATCTGTCTTTACATGGTGTATTTACAAATGGTATGTATTTGTTTATATTTAAATATTCATATGCACATAAAAGTATAGTATATTTGTTATATCAATAAGACATGGATATCGAAGTATCTAAAACGATACCAAACACACAAGCTGGCCAAACCCATGAACGTTGCTGTGCCTGGGGATGGGAGGTGAGCAATGGGTGGTAGTTTCATTTCTTAGAAGGAAGGCAGAGGCTAGCAGCAGATGGTACAAGATATTACTATTTTTTATGTCTAATGGTGGGGATATAGTATCCATTTACATTCTTCACACTTTTCTGTATCTTTTAAATTTCTCAAAATCAAAAGAAGTCTATGAAAACAGGAATGTATTTATGACAAAGTGTCAAATAGAAAAAAAAAAAAAGCAGATTACACAGTGGTCACTGGCTTTGCTACACCTTCCCCTGGGTCCCAGCGTGGACTTGGATGGAAGAAAACCTTCAGGAAATGCTAACATATGTGCCATGGGCCCAGCTCTAGGTCATCTGAAACACTGCTGATTTAGATTTCACTTGAAATCGCTGCTGTTTCCAAGGGCTCTGGTAGTCATGGCCAGAGATGCAGTTGAATTTCCTGACCTCTATTAATTGCTGTTCTTACTGGCCAATTAGCTAAATGTATGACAACCCTTAATTTAGCTTGTGTTTCATAATTCAGTAAGCTGGATAGTCCCCACAGATCAGTAGTTATGATGGCCCCAGCCTGTCCTGTGTCCTCTGGGCCTCCTTCAGTCATTATCCTCCCAAAGTGCTCATTCCCAGAAAATGGGTTAATCAGGCCAGTAGAAGCGTCAGGCCCCATAGTAAAGTCCCATGGGCCCTACTTTCTTCCTCTTCTGGGGTACATGCAGGTTGGCCACCTTAGCCATGCTCTGGAAGTGGAAGGAAGCCAAACAGAATGTTCTTCCCAACCCTAGGCCCCGGGTGCCCCCTCCTTACGCCCTCTGGGCCTCTCTCCTTACCATCTGGCTGGTCCGTTGTTCTCTGCCTTATAGAGAGAGGGGCCTCCCATTAATAGCTGAAGTCTTCTTCCTGGCCAAATGTATGTGCTTCCTATTCTGAAAGCAAAGAGAAAGGAAGGGAAGGTGAGCCCTGTGGTCTGGCAAACAGTGCCACTTCCCTTTGTGGAGAGGAAAAAAAGGAACCAACTTAAAGTATGTCCCTCACCTCTCCCTTTCCAGGGGCGCAGCCCATGGAACAGTGAAGGGGCAAACCCAATCTCTTATCTTTTCTCCACATGTGACTGGCTTAGTCCATCACTAGCTAGAGGGTCTCAGCAGGTGTGAGGCAAAGGACTAATGGGGACCTGCCAAGTTCTCTAATCTAGCAAGAAAACTGATCCTCATCTAACTCTTTCTGGTATTTTACGGTTGAAAACTGTAATCAAAGAAGTTGTGTGATTAGTCTCCCCAAACCTCCATCCAAGTTTAATATGAATTCTAGGGTGTACATGGAACAGAGAGCTCTTTCAGGACAAAGAGTTCTAAAGAGTTTGTCTGAAAGACACATCTTTGTCAAGAGGCAAATGAATTAAAACGCCAGATTTGCTAAAGCCATTGTCCAAAAGGAAGTGAATCCTCGGGGACGTGTGCGAGGCTCCAGTCTACCAAGTGGCTTTTCCCAGATTTCCTGGCTTGCGGGCAACGTGGTAGTATTCGAATCCTAACTCTGAACACTTGAGAATGCTCTAAGACATCCCTTTTAATTAAATCCAACAAATTGCGTAGAAATCTTCCACAGAATATGTCTGATTAGAAGAAATCGGTCACGACAGGGAAGAATTTTATAAGATAATGTTAAGTGAAAAAAGCAAAATAAAATATTGTGTCTATATTAGGATTGAAATGGTATTAAAATGACATGCATATGGACAAGATTGAAATGAAACTTGAAGACCGGGAAGATGCGGTTGGAGATGAATTTTTCATTTAATTTTGATTTTGATCGTTTTCTTGCTTGTAAAATAAGAATAGTTTTTGCAGACGAGTTCTGGAGAGATGTCTCTCAAGGTGGAAATTATCCCTGCCGTTTGAGCTCTGAAGAGGGCAAAACCCTTGAACAGTGTAGCCTCTGATGCTACTGGTGTGATTCTGTTCTCTGGCACAGGGCAGGCAAACTGTGGCCCGTAGGTCACATGCAGCCTGTGAGACAGGAGTGCTTTTTACACGTTTAAATGGTTGGGAGAAAACAAAAGAAGAAGACTGTTTTGTGGCATGGGAAAAACTGCATGAAATTCAAATTTCAGTGTCCATAAATAAAGTTTTATTGGGACTCAGCCATACCCATTCATCTACTTTTATCTATGGCTGCTTTCAAGTTTACGACGGCACAGTTGAGTTGCAATGAGACCATATGGAATGCAAGGCCTAAAATATTTACTGTGGCCCTTCCCAGAGGAAGCTTGCCCAGGCCTGCTCTCGGACATCCGTTCAATATGGCCAAGGGAACGCATCATCCACCTTCTCTTGCCCTGTCTTTATCCGCACTCCTGCTCGCCTCCTTGTGGGGAAAGAACGTCATTGAAGTCATCCAAGTGCCAGCCTCAGATAAAGCCCGAGAAGTATGTGCCTTAAAGCTTCTAAAATACCCTCCTTACTGTTGGTGAAATGGGGATTCAGGTATCATAAACACTTCATGGGGGTTTCAAAGCTGTTTAGTTAATACTTATTCTCTCTCGGAAATGAAAAGCCCAGTATCCTGGGATTGTTGTCACTGCTGTTGTTATCACAGTGATCGTTCCTATATATGGTCAAAGAAACAGTCAGCAGCTGTCACTCTCCACTGCTCATTACAAATGAGACCTTTTTCCAGCTGAAATAATAGCGTGTGAGTCTAATTAGAATAAAGCTCATTAGAGATGGAGACAGCCATTAATGCCTCAATTGATTTTCCTAATGAAGTAAGCCGGGGGAGGAGACTTCAACAGCACAGCTAATTATTTTCTGCTTTTCTTCAGCATGTCTTTGGCATTTAAAACTTCTTATAACTTGTTGTTTGACTGTAAACGAAAATGCTGCTGAAAAGTGCTCTGTGATTACAGAGGCTCTGACACATCCAGCCCTGAGAAGGGGGAGGAAGGCATCTGCTTCCTGCAGGAGGAGGTTTAAACCTGGCAGCCTCTGGGGATAGCCTTCCTTCCACTTTTTCAGCCTCCTCCTCCTGTGCATTCTGGGTTCTAGCTAGTCGTTCCCAGACACTCAAGTTGTAGTGTGTGGTTTTCTCCTCCTGCAGTCCTGGTTCAGGGACAGAGCTGAAACATACAGATGCTTATGGGGGTTGCCTCTGGATGGTGAAACATGGAGGAAAGGGTTATGGGAAAAAGGGTTTTAGATGGACAGAGGAGGGAAATACCTACAAAATGTGTGTACCAGAATGCAGATGGGGCAATTGTGCTTCATTAATCAAGATGCTCTTTGCCACCCAGAAAGCAGTTAAATCCCACAGTACAGGGAAAGGGCTGTCAAGGAAGGGCAAGTCAAGAACTGAGACTCAGCATATAACACACTTGGGAGACTCATAACAGGGAGGATGGGAGGAGGGTGTGAGGTAAAAAAAACTTCATATTTGTACAGGCTACACTGCTTGGGTGATGGATACACTAAAATCTCAGAATTCACCACTGTGTAATTTATCATGTAACCAAAGACAACTCATACCCCAAAAGCTATTGAAATAAAAAATTTTTTAATTTTTTAAAAGCCTTACTAAATGAGGAAATTATTCAATAAAAGGACATTATCTCAGTGACTGTGTTATTAGAAATGTAGTTTAGTGTAAAGCACTAACAGCAACTAACAGATTCCCAGTGTCGTCCAGACAAGTAAAGGAGAGGAAGAAAAATTCTTCAGGTGATCGTTCAACTAGTCACCAAGCAACAAGAGCCTGCTTTATGACAAGTGTAACAGCTTACACTTCAGACAGGAAGAAGCCTCATTAAAGTGAACTTCCGTCATGAGCCTCTATTACTAAACTTCATGTTTGCTGTCTGCAAACCCAAGAGTCTTGATCGGACTTTTTTGCTGACTCCATTGCCCTACCCGTGAGGTTCTTTAACTCAGAACTGTGTGATAAAAAGCAAAAGGTGGAGTTTAAGATGCCTGGCTGAGGCCGGGTGCAGTGGCTCACGCCTGCAATCCCAGCAGTTTGGGAGGCCAAGGTGAGCAGATTAGCTGAGGTTAGGAGTTCAAGACCAGCCTGGCCAACATGGTGAAACTTTGTCTATACTAAAAATACAAAAACTGCACAAGCATGGTGGTGCATGCTATTTGGAAGGCCAAGGTTGCAGTAAGCCAAGATTGTGCCGCTGTACTCTAGCCTGGGCAACAGAGCCGGACTCCATCCCTCCACCCCACAAAAGAGTGTGCCTGGTTGAACATCACGGAGATAACTGGAGGTGATTCCGCACATGGTTGATGTGAGTATTAGTTGACCCCCTTTCTTTTTTTTTTTTTTTTTTTTTTGAGACGGAGTTTCGCTCTTGTTACCCAGGCTGGAGTGCGATGGCATGATCTCTGCTCACCACAACCTCCACCTCCTGGGTTCAGGCAATTCTCCTGCCTCTGCCTCCTGAGTAGCTGGGATTATAGGCACGCACCACCATGCCCAGTTAATTGTTTGTATTTTTAGTAGAGATGGGGTCTCACCATGTTGACCAGGATGGTCTCGATCTCTTGACCTCGTGATCCACCCACCTCGGCCTCCCAAAGTGCTGGGATTACAGGCTTGAGCCACTGTGCCCGGCCAGTAGACCCCCTTTCTACCGTTTCAGTTACCCAGAGACAGTAAAAAGGGTGAGTACAGTACAATAAGATATTTTGAGAGAAAGAAAACACATTTACATAACTTTTATTACAGTGTATTATTATAATTGCTCTATTTTATTTGTAGTTGTTATTGTTATTACTCTCTTGTGCCTAATTTTTCTTTCTTTTTTCTTTTTCTGAGACAGAGTCTCACTCTGTCGCCCAGGCTGGAGTGCAGTGGTGCGATCTCGGCTCACTGTAACCTCCACCTCCCATGTTCAAGCAGTTCTCCTGTCTCAGCCTCCCGAGTAGCTAAGATTACAGTCACGCATCACCACGCCCAGCTAATTTTTGTATTTTTAGTAGAGACTGGGTTTCACCATGTTGGTCAGGCTGGTCTCGAACTCCTGACCTCAAGTGATCAGCCCACGTCAGCCTCCCAAAGTGTTGGGATTACAGGCCTGAGCCTAATTTATATAGGTCTGTATGTATAGGAAAAATATAGTATATGTAGGGTTCAGTACTCCCCTAACCCATGGAAAAGGGGGAACAACTGTACTTAAATAAATACAAATAATGAATAATGGACAGTGCGATTCTAGTATCAACTTTGATTTCCTCTCTTTGCCGTCCTGTTGCCTCTCTCCTAAGTTCCAGGCTGTTCTTTTAGCTGGTCCTATGCCCTGTTCTGTGTGCATAGTCTTGCTCAAAACTTATTATCAGTTGTGTTGTTTAAAAAGGCTGCATCTTCCATCATGATGTGCAAAACATTGATGGGTTTCTTCCCTTACTAAAATACCAGGACACTTTCCATGTAACATCATTTAACAGCCTCCACCCTGCCACCCCCGCAGCACAGCACTGCTTCTCTCCAAAGCCAGAGTGTTTATAACCCTTTGAAGTGGGCCCACAAGGACTCCAGTAGGTACCCGAAAGACAAAGATGGACAAGAAACATGTTTTCCCCCTCAATAAGGGAGGCAAACATTTTGCCCAAAATTCTGTACAACATGGTGGTGCCGTGGAAGGGCCACTGAGAAGGGAAGAGACTGATTCTCTCTAGAGCAGCTACAGGGAATTTTACCAGAGGATGAGGTTGGGGCCAGATCCTAAAGACTAAGTAGCCAAGAAGAGAAAGCTGGGGAGAGGGTGTGAGGAAAGAGAGCAGCAGATGTGAAAACACCGTGGTGTGCAAGGAGGATCCGCCTGTTGGACACAGTGGGTGCTTGGTCTCTTGGGTTTTTATTTGTTCTTTTATCTTTTATTTTTGGTAGTAGTGCATGAACCATGCCTTAGTAACCATTTTCTCCTTGGGATATTAGATTTTTTCCCATATGCCTAGTAAAAATGCTGCAGTGCAAATATATTTGTACATATATCTTTAACAACTTTATGGAGGTATAATTTACACCCCAAAAAACTTATTCATTTTTCATGCACAGATCAATTTTAGTAATTTAGTGAATTGTACAACTGTCACCACACTCCAGTATGAGAAGATTCCCATCACCTCAGTAAGATCTCTCCTGCCTGTTTACAATAAATACTCATTCCCACCTCCAGTCCCAGGAACTGAGGAACCCAACCAGTGTGTGTGTTTTGGGGGTGGAGTTTGGGATTTATCTTTGATTCTGATTTCTATGATTGTTGTAAAAAAAAAAAAGGTATTAATCTTCTTATGACTCTCAATATTGCCAAATTGCTTTTCAAAGCAGCCATACAACTTTACATACTGCTAACAATATATGAGAATTGTGGGTATTGCCACTGTTAAATTTCTAGTGGTTTTAATGTTGTATTTTTTGATTACTGAAACATCTTTTGATTTGTGTGTTTTCTGGTTTTATTTTGTTTTAAATGATATTTGATTTGTACACTTTCACTCTCATTAGGCCTCTCTTAAGACTATTCATATTTTGATTTGTTTGAGCTTCTGTAGCTTTCATCATTCACGTGTTGTATGCTGCAGGTATTTTTTCTACTATGAGGTTTGTTTTTATATTTTGCTTTATTTTTCTTCTTAAGATGCAAATGTTTATCTTTGCATACTCAGATGTATTGATATCTGTATTTTACTTTGCAGTCTTTTTCTATGCCTTCAAAGTGTACAGAGTTGTCTCCCCCTCCAAATCTTTGACAAAGGTTCAGTTTTCTGTTCTGTTCTATTATTTTTAGTAAGATTTAACACATTCTCTTGGAATCTGTTGTTTCTGGTGATTGCCTTTGTCAGATACTTAATTCTGACATATGTTAAGGTGTATTTCTGGGATATCTTGTTCTGCTAGTGACTTTCTGATGGGTTTATTTTAAACAGAGTGTAGAGAAATGGACACACATGAGAGGGAGACCCGGATGTGGGAAACTGACACACGAGAGGGAGTCCCAGATGTAGGAAAGTGACACACACGAGAGGGAGACCCGGATGTGGGAAACTGACACACACGAGAGGGAGACCCAGATGTGGGAAACTGACACACACGAGACGGAGACTCGGATGTGGGAAACTGACACACACGAGAGGGAGACCCGGATGTGGGAAACTGACACACACGAGACGGAGACTCGGATGTGGGAAACTGACACACACGAGAGGGAGACCCGGATGTGCGAAACTGACACACATGTCAGGGAGCCCTTGATGGTAGGTTCCATTCATAGGTAGTGGACCCAGGAGTGCTGTTGATTTGGAAAGACAACCTTGGTTCCAAAGGCCAAGACTAAGCTGTTCTCTGGGAGTTACAGAGCTGCAGGAGTTGGGGTCTGCTGTTTTAACAGTTTCTTGGTCTGCTTGGAAAAGTATCTGATATGCCCCAGCAGGAAAGAGAATGCTCTGTCCAAAATGTGGTAAGTGCATTAGATGGGGGGTCAGATAGGAAAATCTCTAGATCCCATCCCAACTTCGAAATTTTAGAATTATTTAAGTACTTTTTATCCATTCTCTTATTCAACAATTTTTTTTTTTTTTTTTTTTTTTGCGTATCTAGCGTGTTGCCAGCACTACTCTAAATCTTGGAGATACAGCAGAATAAAGTTTCTACCCAGTAGGAGCTTCTGTTCAAGGGAAAAGATGGTCAATAAAGAGATGAATTAATATGTTAATAATTTCAGGGAATGATAATTCATATAAATAAAAATGAAGCAAGGTAAGAAGTGCTATTTTATACAGGGGGTTCAGGGAAGACAATGAAGTAGCAGTCAAGCAGAGATCTAGAAAATGAGCTGGGAGGCCAGGCCTGGTGGCTCACACCTATAATCCCAGCACTTTGGGAGACTGAGGCGGGTGGATCACTGGAAGCCAGGAGTTCAAGACCAGTCTGCCCAACATGGCAAAACCCTGTCTCTACTAAAAGTACAAAAATTAGCAGTCACAGTGATATGCACCTGTAATCCCTGCTGCTTGGGAAGCTGAGGCAGGAAAATTGCTTGAACCCAGGAGGCAGAGGTTGCAGTGAGCTGCGATCATGCCAGTGCACTCCAGCCTGGGTGATAGAGCAAGACTCTGTCTCATAAAATAAAATTAAAGAGATGGGAGCAGGGGAAGCCAGCCAGGACAAAGTGAGAAGTGTGCTAAGATCCTATGGTACTTGGCTTGTTTGAGGATCTAAATGTTAATTGATTGATCCAGATGTGGGCCCCATTTCTCACCTAGACAGCTTTACTTACTGTTGGATCAGTTGGTCTCATTTTTCAATATCATCAGAAGAGCTGTAATTTATTAAGCACCCACCATGTATCTAGCTTTGCTAAATACATGTATTATGTATAATTCCCACAACTCTGCAAGTTAGGTCTTATTGTCCCCATTTTACAGATGGGGAAACAGTTGTAACACATTCTCTCAGTCACTTTCATCTAGTCTATTCCAGTGGGAGAATGCTCAGTTCACAGCTGATAGTTACATGTCTGAGGGGTGTGTATTTTGGACTGAATGCAGATGTGTCAACAGAAACATCCTAAAAACTTCTGTGATAAAATCATACCTGACACTGAATGACAAGGCCTAGACCAGCAATCCCCAAGATTTTTGGAACCAGAGACTGGTTTTGTGGAAGACAGTTTTTCCATGGATGGGGAGTTGGGTGGGGCGGGGTGGGAGGAGTTTCAGGATGATTCAAGCACATTACATTTATTGTGTACTTTATTATTTCTATTATTATTACATAATCACCACAATGTAGAATCTGCTGGAACCTTGAGCTTGTTTTCCTGCAACTAGAGGGTCCCATCTGGGGTTATGGGAGACAGTGGCAGATGATCAGGCATTAGATTCTCGTAAGGAGCATGCAGCCCAGATCCCCTGAGTGCACGGTTCACAGTAGGGTTCACGTTTCTATGAGAATCCGATGCTGCCGCTGATCTGACAGGAGGCAGAGCTCAGCTTCAGTCACTCACCTGCTGCTCACCTCCTGCTCTGTGGCCTGGTTCCTAACAGGCCATGGACCAGTAGTGGCCCATGGCTTAGGGATTGGAGACCTCTGGCTTAGACTATTTGTCTGTTCTAAACCTGTGGAGGAAAAGTACTTTTAGGCACATAGGAAGAACAGTTTCTTAAAGTCACTCTGAGCTGTCCTCTTTAGCAGGATTTAAAATTAGGATAATATCTTTTCATTTGCTATTCTTTAATATCTCTAATTCTTATTGTAGACACTTCAACAAACAAAAACCTGAAATGTATGTTCTGCATTGACATCAACCTACACTTCCAGGAGGATAATACTACCGATAACTGAAGAATACATGGAAGCCTCTACATGGAGTGGGGTGTGGTTGGAAAAATTTGGGTGGGCAAAGGTTCCTTGGGGTTTTTGAGTCTGCACCCAAAGGCACTCATGGTTCTTTCAAACAGCCCTCCTTTGTCAGCGTCAGGAGGAGTTTCTGTTCTTCCATCTTGCAAGGGTCTCCTGGGGTTCTTGCTCTCTGCAGCTTTCAGTGTGTCCTTTGCACAAGGGTGGGATTGTGACTAAGGCTCTCCAGTTCTAACTGAGTAAAGCATCCTGACGAAGACTTCCATTTGGGATTCCTTTAAGGGGGAAGGGCATACTTCAGCAAAGAGTTGCTGTGTATCCACTCAGCTCCCACTTCCTGCCTTCTGACAGCTGCAGGTCTTAAGGATCTCTTTGTAGCACAGTTCTTTAAAAATTAAATGAGACATGAAGTCATGTTACAGAAGCGGGCTCCCTGTCCTGCCCAGTAGGGCCAGTGTGCAGATGGGGTCCCCTGTGATGCTGAGATGGGGCCCCTCCAATGACCGTTCTCTCAACTCCCCTTTATTTTTATTTATTTATTTATTTTTAAAATGGCATATAGTAATTTACATATTTATAGGGTACCTGTGATGTTTTGACACACTTACAGTGTGTAATGGTCATTACATACTGGGTAGTTACGTACAGGGTATTTAGTACATGCGTCACATCAAAGGCTTATTTATGTGTGCTGGAAACATTTCAAATCTTCTCACTACTTTGAAATATACAATATATTACTATTAACTCTACTCACCCTACTGTACTGTTGAACACCAGAATTTATTCCTTCTTAACCAACCTCCCTTCATCCTCGCCCTTCCCTACTGTCATTTACACAAGGTAATCACCATCCTCAGGTCTCCTTTCTTAGAACGTCACTGGATGGCCGTATGGCTTATGGCCATATCTTACTTTCAGTGTGTTTTGGTTTCAAAGTTTGTTACCAAAGCAATTGCTTCTCAGTGCTGCTGAAACAGGTGATAATAAAAATGAAGCTGAGTTGAATTTGAATTTAGTTGTAACAAAGGCAAGGACCAGCCCAGCGGGCTTGTGCTTCTCTGAGGGTTCCCCACAAGTATCAGAGCTTCACTCTTACCCCTCTTACCCTTGCAGGACTGATACGAATAGTAAGTGAAATAATATCCACAAAGCAGCTAATGCTGTGTTCTTTCTCCTTTGTATAGTAATGATAATAATTTCAGAGTAGCCTATGTTAGGGAAATGAAAGCTGCAGAGTCTTGTGTTTGCAAAAAGGGTTTATATTGTATCTGTCCCTCAAAAGGTGGGGTGGGAGAGCCTTTACTGCTGCTGCATACCCCAGAAACTCATTTACTGAGTTGAAGACAATGAGAACACCATTTTTCATGTAGGCACGTGTGTATATGTGTGTGTGTGTGTGTGTATCTGTCTGCCATTCCTTTCAAGTTCTTCCTCATGGATGAGGCACCCTCTAAACCCCACATTGGCTGGCTGAGACTTCGCTTTGTTTCGAGGCCTCTTTTAGTCATAGGTAGTAAAGGGACTTTGGTTTCTACCGTAGACGTTTGATTCATGTACATGGATTTCTGGCCTGTCTGGGGTACAAGGCTGAGTTGGGAGGAAGAGATCCCTGACACCTATCAGAATGACAGGTTATGGTCACAGTCCTTACTCACCTGACAGCCGATGAGGAAGGAGGTCCCTACAAACACAGGGTTTATAATAACAACAATGAAAATAAAAGTAGCAGCAACTAACATTTATTAACTACTTTGCCAGACACGAGATTTTTCCATTTAATCCTGAGTGTAACCCTACGGGATGGAGACCATGATTATCCCCAGGAAACCAAAGCCCAGTAATATGCACGATGTCAAACAACAGTGTATATGTACATATATATACTGGAGATGTTCACTTTCCTTTCCTGATAAAACCTTCAGGAACACTCCATGAGCCCTGCTTTTCCTCTCCAGCTGAATACTCAGGTCCATTTGTAAGTCTCCTCCCTGAGCCTCATGAGTTGGTGGTCTGTGGAGAGCATCATTTGACATGTATGGCATTGTGTGGACACATTTGTATGCGTCTTGTTCCCCATATTAAAGAATAAAACCCCAGTGGCCAGAGACCTTGAAGTTCTTTCAAACTGTCCAGTATGTGACTCAGAGCATGTCTCCTGAGTGGTCTGGGGCAAGTCTGGGGATGGCATCTGCTTGGACAGTATCACCTGGGAGGCTGCCCCTGGGGTGACTGCCAAGTACACACTCCTGTTCTCAGGAAGGCTGCGTACCCAGCTTCTCTGCTCAGGAGAGGTTTTATGCAGCAAGTAAAACAAGCCTAGAGATGACACTAGACCCAGACACTCTGCAAGCAGCAGGGGCGGGAGTTAGCAGTCTGATGGTGGAGAAAACCAAAACATCCTAAGGGGTGAATCCCATTCTAAGGGAGCAGCAATCTGGAGCCAGCTGGCCTGGGAGTGAGCAGACCCTGTGGCTTCCACGGGCCTGAAGACGTCATTGTATGGCAGGGTTTTGTTTGGTTGTCGCTCTGTCGCCCAGGCTGTAGTGCAGTGTTGTGATCTCAACTCACTGCAATCTCTGCCTCCCGTGTTCAAGCCATTCTTCTGCCTCAGCCTCCGAAATAACTGGGACTATAGGTGCCCAGCACCATGCCCAGCTTGCTTTTATATTTTTAGTAGAGACACAGTTTCACCATGTTTGCCAGGGTGGCCTCAAATTCCTGACCTCAGGTGATCCACCCACCTTGGCCTCCCAAAGTGCTGAAAATACAGGCGTGAGCCACTGCACCCAGCAGGCAGCATTCTCTAGTTTTCCAAATACACACAGGCATGTGCACGTATACATCATGTGTAAAAGTATGTTTCAGAAGTGATTTCATTGCTTTATTACTATTAACTCGTTTAATCTTCAGCCGTTCTGTGAAGTAGGTACTGTTGTTCTCTTCATTTTACAGATGAAGAAACTGAGGTGCAGAGAGGTAATTTTATCAGGATCCCAGAGCTAGGAAGTCACAGAGCCAAGATTAGCACCCAGCTACATGGCACAAAATACTCCATTTTGATAATGCTTAAATATTAGGAAAGTATAAAATATTTCTGTCATACAGATAATGTGACCCAAAAAGTGTAATGTATTTAAGAAATAATTACATGCAGAATTATTATTTTTAAGTATTTGTATGTTTAGAAGTTTCGGTTACTTAGAACATCCTGCTTTTAAAAGAACATTCCCCCCCAAAAACGAAACATGTAGCGTTTGTTTTAAAAGAAAAAGTTGAAGAATACAAATAACAATACCTGACTTTTTACAAAACCCTTATCTATGACATCAGGACACCGGCAGGGCAGGTACTTTCATTGTTTATGGTCTGCAGCGAGTCAAGTGTCTTGACCAGCACAAGCCGGCTTGGTTAAATGTGCATCGTTAAAGCCCAGGCCCAATCATGCCTTCACTGAGTTATGACCTGGAGGAGAGAGGATAAAATATGTTCACAGGTAACCATTGTACGTAGTCCTTAGAGTTTCAGATAATCTGTTTTGTGAGCAAATGAATCAGAAGCATCTTTGCCTTTCTTGTGCATCCCACACATACCAAGCATAGACCTGTTACGCATCTTTAAAGGATTCTTGTTTGTTGTTTTTTTGTAATTCATTTTAGAGCGAATTAAACTCAGAATCCCTGGATTGTACACTCTCCCTCTGTAGACTGTTGAGTTTCAGGCACGGGGATGTAGCTGTAGAATGTGGCTTGTTCATTCTTCCTGATGAGAAGTTGATCTGAATGGATTGACCATTTGGTAATTTCTTAGTGAAAAGCTGACTCTTGAATATGCCTATTATAATATAAATTCTTACCAACATAAATTAAGGGCTTATGTGGGGCTTGGTAGAACTCTCATGCCTTGAGGTATCGGTAGCTTATTAAATTGGTTAACTTGTATTTATGATGTAGCTACCCTGTGCCAGCCATCACTGAGAAAGCCTGGATTCTATTGCAAAGAGACATATACTGAGAGAAAATTGATTACAAGTAACTATTTCAGGCTCTGCTTTGAATTTCTCATTCACATGCTTTCTTTTCTTTTTCCCTCTAAGGGTCGGGATTACTGTTCGGAAGAAGAGGATATCACATAGCACCAATTTTACCACTCAAACCAGGAGCTACTACTGTGTAAATAGGTTACACCCCAGTTGAAATCTTTGCAAAGGTCGGTTCTATTCAGCGAACAGCATTATAGCAAAAGAAGATCGTTCCATATCGTACGCCCCATTAAATTACAGTGTTTCTTTATGAACTTGCAAAGGAATATTGCTAAAAACAAACAAAAAAAAACTGTTATCGAACTTTCTTTGTTGCTGCTAGTTAAAACTTGTTGCAACTTTTCACTTCTCTTGTGTCCAGGTATGCAGCAATTTCACCTTAAAGATACTGTTGTTTTACAGATGCTCTCCAACCTATTTTCTATAAGATGAGGTAGTGGTGAACTCAGACATCAAACTTCTATTCTAAACTGGTTCTGCTTCTAAGACAAGCATCTCCTGCCCTCTCTCCTTCCTCCCCATCTCTCGCACGCAATCTAGAGATGGACTGAGGCTTGCTTCTTGCTGGCAGTGTTGAGCTTTGGAGTTGGGATGGTTGCTATGGCAAGCCTTGTTCCTCTGCTCAGAAGAAGTGGAGAAGCTTTTATCAGTTAGAAGCATGGTGTGATGTGACTCCTGGAAGTGACGTAGGAGTGAGTGGCAGGTCGTTTGAGTTCATAGGTATCTTAGTCAAGGATTAAGCTTGCAGCATTGGCTTAGCTCAGATGCAGATGGAAGTGTGATCACAATCGTTTTGAATCCCCCTTCCTCACTTTTTTTTTCTAAGAAAATAAACATTTTACTGTTTTTATGGATCCTTGTCTTCTCCCATTCATCCAGCTCAATGTTTTCAGATGATCCTGGGTGCAGAAGTTGAGCCCTCCTTTGCATTGGCACTGATAATTAGCCTAAAGGGCTCCCTACCCTTCCATTCATAACCTACCAGGCATTGGCAAGGATGTAAGGGGTCTGAAGAGGTGAGGGGAGATCCTATGACTTTTTAGGAGGGCCTGAAACCACCTTGTTACCTTTCATTTTATTAGCAAATAAACCATCCTATTTCGTAACTCTCTCCCTTCAGAATGCTACATGAGCCTTGCCACTCCCTTTTTCTCCTACTTCCAGCACACTAGATACAGGAAAAGTGTTTGCCTCCTCAGAAACATAATACTTTTATGCCGATGATGATATTTGGAGAGTGACAGCCAAAAGCCCCTGGCTGTGGTGGGGAATGTTGACTGAGTGTTCAGCAGAGTTTATTTTTCCATACTATATGAAGAGAATGATCTCTTCTCAAAGACAGAAGTGATATTTTTAACAAATATTGTCACAAGTAAATAGCAATCAAAAGGAGAAAATAACTTTTGTATTTTTTTAATGTGTTTGATAGCTTTGACGAGGGTTCTCTTTGTTACTTTCAGGGGAGGGCATCCTATTAAATGCCACGCCAGCAGTCCGGGTTTGGGTTTGGCCCACACAAACACAGGAGCCTGTATGTTTCTCTTTTGGGGTTGTGATTTTGAAGGGCCTCGATGTTAGCCACACTGCCACCCACAGAAGGTGGAGAGTTAAGCTGTTCTGTGTCAGTTTGCTCTTGCCGAAAAGATGAGCCTTTACTTTAAAATCTATCCACACAACTGATGGCACCATCGATGTGTGAATAGTGAGATTCCCTATCTCCTTTTAGACCTGGGGTGGCAAAAGGGAAGGGAAGGAAGCTGAGAGCTGAGTGCTATGGACAATAGTTTCACATATTAGCAACAAAATCCCTTAATTCTTTTGGCCAACAGCAGCTATTTTGGGGAGCAGCTGTGGCTGTTACATAAATAGAGATGCAGCCAAAATTTTAGGCTTTTTATTCTGTTTCTAGCAGAAAAAAATGTGGGGAGAGTCAAGCAGTCTAGGGTTTCAGGTTCCCTCCCCTCGTATGGTTTTTGGCCAAGTGACTAAAATAGTTTTCCACAACTGTAAACGAACTGCTAAGCCCCACCTCAAACTTGTTCACTGGGGACTTTGTTCCCTGTTCTGTGGATGACCTTTTCCGGGATTTCTTGTTCTTGTTAAGCAAGAAGGAAGCACATGCTAAACACCTTCCATTTGATTTCTCCACTCGGTGTCTCAATGTCTTCCCAGAAAACCACCCAAACATGAAACATGCTTATGTCATTTTTCTCATGGTCGTGTTGAGCCCTTTTGACATGTGTTACACACGTGCATAGATCCAGGCGTTTCATGGGAACCTGACTTTTGAGTGTTTAATAAAACCGGAAATGGTGTTGACCTGAACCAACAGCTTTTCACCCAGGTTCTGGCTCTGGTGTTTAACACTGGATACATCTTTGATGTGCAAAAGTGAGTTCATCTCCAGACACATTTGATACATCCAGAAATAGATCCAAGGAATGGGGTGGTCGAGTAGGTCACATGAAATGCTTGATTGTGTCAGCAACACCCAACAGCGTCTGTTTTCCATTGTTGGTTTTCATGATAAAATTGTCAAGTGATTCGTGTTTGGACTTTATTTTCTTTATGCCTTCTGAAAGGATCTAAAGCAAAATATTTTGCCTTTTTTCCCCCTATGTGTATCTGAACATTAAGTTGACAGGCTTATCACAGTGAAAAGAATAATCCAGTGTATGTGTTGGTGCATTCTGCTAGTTGTTATCTCGGTAGGGCTCAGGAAGCTGCAAGGAAGAAGGGAGGAGAAGTGGCCTGGTGAGTAGGGATAGAAAAACGACAAGGAATGAACTGAGAGCATGAAGCAGAGAGGGTTGATAGGCTGGCCATGTGCGGGTGAAATTGGAAATCCAGCTGCCTAGTGGCCAGTGGGTGGGGCAAGACTGTCAAGGAGATTTACAGCTGGCTCACACGCCGTACGTCCTCCGAGTTGTAGAGTTGTAAAAGTTCAGCAGTGTGTGCACAGCTTTCTTTTGGTTGGCAGAGATTCAGGACCATGGAGTACTGCTCTCATAATTGAAGACGTGTTTGTTACTGGCAGAGAACCTTAAAAAAGGCCTTTACCTCAGCGATGCTTCCTAGCCCCAGGCTTGCAGAGAACACAAAGTGGTGTTGTGGTCTATTTAGGGACAAAGAGGGTATAAAGTCCAGAGATGAAAAAACTAGGTCAGCCCTCAGAAACCCCAGCAGCCAGGCACACAGCAGCCCTCCGGGAGACAGGTCTCTCTCCGTCCGCAGTGCCCATGATCTGAGCCCCGGCTGGGGTGACTCAACTTAGCAAGGATGGGCCCAGAAGGAGAGCTGGTTCTTCAGTCTTTGCACTGGCCCTGTCCTCATCCCCATCACTGTAAGGTGAGGAAGCACCTCTGTGTCAGGGCTCACCTGGGCATCTGAAGCGGCCACGCCAATAACCTGACAGCCCCCCAGGAGCAGGCCCAGGATGATGCAGCCCCCTTCTTGGTCCCATGTCGTGTCATCTTGCTCTGTTATCCTTTTATAACTTTATCCGGCTATAACGTTATCCTCTTCCCAGCCTCATCCCTGTTTTTCTCTTAGAGCGAGACTCTCCATAAGCCTGCTAAAAAAGAGATGATACATACCTCTTACGAACCTTACCTCATAGCCTGTGACACAGGCTGGCATGTGGATTGCAAGTCCTGCTTTGACACTGGGCAAGAATTTAAAAGTGTTCCATCTCTACTAGTCGTAGAAAGAAACATGGTTAAACATGTTGAGTTCTGAATTGGTACCTAAAGTTCTCTCCTTCCTGCCTCCCCTAAGAGAAAAAGGATATTAGATTGCACACTACAATTTTACATAAGATCACTCTTCCCCACTGGAAGGCATTCTCAGCGCTTTATGTCTTCCTACCTCTCAGAGATTGGACTTTTGTCAAAACCCCAGCCAACAATATAATAAGGCATGGTTGGTGGGGAGGGACTATGTATTTAAGGGCATAATAAGAAGTGGCTTGAAGCCGGAAGTTTGGCTTCCCAGTGTCACGGGTGGATGCCTGGACGCCAGTGTGCCTGGGAGAAGCTGGGCGAGGCAGTTGGCTATCCCACTACACACGTGCCTGCAATAAACCTTTTGGAATTCCATGAATGAGGTCTATGAGTTGCCTTTTGCCAATGAATGGATCTGTTTTTCCAAGGGGAGAATAGTATCCTTAGCTTCAGCAGTCACCTTTTTGTATGTCTCTGGAAAGGGGTCAGAAAGCTAGGGTACAAGATGAGGCTTGCGGGTGAATACCTCTATGACAGACCGTAGGACTCACAAGCTATGCCAAGTTCTCCAGGAGACTCTTGTACCTTATCTGGAATCTAATCTGATCTTGAGAGAAGAGGAAAGAGGAGCTAATATTTGTCATTTATACTCACTCTGTGCCAGATACTGTGCTAGACATTTTATTATTGTTTTGTGTCATCCTCATGATAATCCTGTGAAGTGGATCTGTTACCCACACATTCTAAATAATAGATCTCAAGTGTGTAATGCATCTATCCAACATAAATGCCCATGTTGAAAGAAGGAAAGATGTCATACAAGTCTTTTCCAAATTCTTTTTATTTTGACTATGTCCTTTGCAACACTGTGAAAACAACCCCTGGGGGCATCTGCCTTCCAGAATCTCTCTCTGGCTCCTCACCAGCTTGGTTTCCTCATGGGGAGTGTTTTATTTGGCCTCCCCCATCTGAGCTGCACACACACCAGGAGAGGCCACTGGCTAACAGGAGGACTTCAGTGCCCGGGGAAAAGGCTTTGGGAATTTAGGCCCACCTCTCTCCCCTTGGAATCCTTCTAGAATCTGGAAAAGGAACCAGGTATTTCTGCAGCTAGATACCAGATGTAACCAGAACAGGCTTTTGAGGGCTATGATTTCTTTCCTGGGTTCCCAAGGCTTGATGTTTCGTCACAGGTTGTATCTTTTTAAGGTGAAAAGCCTTAACCCTCATGGGGGTCTGGGGGATCTCTAGCCGTGGAGGAAAGCCAATGCCTGGACCACTAACTTGTATTGAAATCCTTTCTTGTGGGCTAGGGTTTGATGTCTCTTCTTGATCTTTGGACTGGAGATCTGTATCTTCCAGGTCAGTTTAAACACTGAAACACGATGTGAATCTCTTTCAAGAGCTTACATGTTTTAGATAGCCATATAATGACTTGGATAGACACTTAGAGAACTTGTTCCAAGGTCAGAAGACCCCCCCTTCCCGCAAGAACTCAGCAGAGTTCCTCTTCTTGCTTCTTAAATCACATCCTCTAAAGACAACTCATGTCTCCATAGCAACTGTTAAAGGTGCTGCCTAGAGGGGACCTGCCCCCACCCTTACTTACTTAGCTTGAAAGAACCAAAAGAATGTCCTCGTGTAAAGGGCCTGTCATGTCCAGTTTTCCTTTGAAATCTGTCCTCCAAGATCCTGCTTCGTTCTAACCTGGCAGCTCTCTTGTCCCTTCAATGATGTGGGAAATGGCCCTTGTAACTTGGGAACCACAGAAATTGCTATATTTCTGGAATATTCACCTGTAAATGGAAGGCTCCATTCTGATAGAGTTTGCCCTCTCTACCCTGATTTCGCCCTTCTTTCCTTCCCAGGAGTTATTTTTAGCCCAAGTCTTTGAACATGATTGAGTAAGACTTAGAGGCATTATAAAGAACACCATAAACTCAGGCAGAGGTCCCTTGGAGTCTCTTTTCTCTATTTTCAACTCTTAGGGTTGAAAATAATTCTAGAGCCTTAGTTGGGGGCCTCTTGGCATTGACGCCAAAGGCAGAGAATACCCCCTGGTGTCCTGGCGTTTCAGTCCAGACCTTCCGGGACTGTTTACTCTTGATAGGCAAGCGAGCAAAGGAAGTTTTGCAATAGATTGCAAGCCAGTTTTTCCATTCTAAGCAAGATGCAAATTCATTAAATTATCCTTCTCCTTTTCTGGAGTAGATCCAGGCAGCTGCCTTGTTAGGACTTTAGATTTAGATCCATTTTATTAACACACACGCACATACACAGGCATACATACCTACACAGAGGGATACATAGAGAAAGAAAATTTCCTTTATCATTGAAATACTTCAAGAAAAAGCTGTATTTTGCCTGTCTGTAATCTCCAAGATAATGTCTAGGAAATATTAGTATAACTCCAGAGATACCGAAACAGGAAAAACTAGCGATCACTTTTGAGAAAGTTTGAGTTCGACTCACATGGGAGAATCGAGGTCTGCTAGTGTGCCCCATCTGCGCCCGGATGCCCTACTCCATCTGCTTAACTCATCTGGGCCGCTGGCCAGGCTACTGTGGCTGACATCCTTTCCTGGCCTGACATCCCTAAGGGCGTGTGCCCGGTCCAGCCACATACAACCACCGCCTGTCTCACACACTCTCCTCATCCATGTGGACTTGACTGGCATTTCAGCAGCTCCACTGGGATGCTCTAACTCCAGTGTGTAGAGTTGGGGGTCCCTTAATCTGGGCTGACCCAGGTGTAGCATTTTTAGCATTGCCTTTCCAGTCTTGAGGATTCATTCATTGAACTCACTTATTTCTGGAGCCCCTGGTACACTCCAGGCACTGTGCTAATTGCCAGCAAAGCACAACTGAACTAAACCCACCCTCAAGGAACCTAGCCATAGTGAGGGAGGCAGCATGGAAGTGCCCTAGAGGGATAAGTCCTGGGTGCTGTGGGAGCATCTCACAGTGGCCGCCAGCCCAGCTTTGACAATCAGGGGCTTCCCGAAAGCGGCGGCGTCAAAGCCCAGATGTGTCAGGGGACTGAGGGAGAGTGTTACAAAAGGACTTATAGGCTGAGAGAACAGCAGAGGACTCAGCCCAAAAGAGGGCCAGTGTGGACTGTCCAGGGCCAGCCTGCAGTACAGAGACTGGAGCTTGGCTTTGCGGAGGGAGAGAGAAGAGCAAGGGACGAGGACAGGGCAGTGAGCTGGGTCAGCCACAGAGAGTTCCCGGGCCTTTGCTGGGGATTCAGGGAGCATAAATAAGAGCTTTAGGTGGTGCTGTGTCCTCTGCAGCCCACTGCTGAGGTCCTCCAGACAGGTAAGGTGTGGTCACAATCAGGGCCAGGGTTTTCCTTCTCACAGCAGCAGTGCACGGGTGCTTGCTGAGATGATTTATCCCAGGGTGTCCTCTGTCCCTTACACAGCCTCAACTCCTCTTCCTCTGCCAAAAGCTATTTGAATTCAAGGACTTTAACCTGGGCTGGATCTTGTTTGGGACATAAGGGGACAGCTCTGGGTCAGGATGGCCTTCTTTAGAGCCACCAAGGCTAAAAACACCTTTTGGGACCAGGCTGGCCTAGACCCAAGGATGAGAATGCACCCTAAAATAAACAAACAGGAAGCAGCAGAGGGCTTCCCTGTCCAGTGTGAGATCCTAACCAAAGGCAGCTCTCTTGGACAGCCTTCCCCTGGATTAGGTCACATATACCTGGTGGCCAAGCCTCTGCTGTGTCCCAAATACACACCCGAGTCCTGCCAAAGAAAGGGGATTTTTAAAAAGCACAGACAAATTATATGCAAGTGGATACCCGTAGGCCTACACAGCTGTGGAGGGAGGACCTCATGGGCACCTAGAGGCTGCCAGAGCTGGGAGCTCTGCAGGTTTGGGTCAGGGAAGGCTCAGAGACAGGCAGAATCTCTCTATGGAGACAACTGGCAGTGCCTTTTAGGTTTTCCAAATAACCTACTCAGAGTTTAGATCATTGTGTTTTTCTCCCCCTCCCTGACCCCAGAAAATAATTACAAAAAATGTTTAGGAGAGGGGAAAAGAACTAGCTGCATCAGAATACCAGCTGTAAGCCAACACAGTTTCCAGAAACTCGAGAAAAAGCTCAAACAGAAGGCAGTTCCCCTGAGAGGCTGGTGGAGTTGGGGCTGAAGGCAGTTTTCCGAGCTAAGGGACTCTGGGCCTTGCTGCTCCTTGGGGCTGGCATTTTTTGCAAAACGCCCACACATGCCCTCCTGGCATACTCAACAACAACGCCAGCCTTCTGGACCCTTGGAAAAATGGTAGCTCAAACATCCACTCTTTTTCCAGATACTCCTGCTCTTCACTGAGGAATTTGTAATTCTGTGGCTAGATTCCCACTCAGATATTCCACAGGCCCAGGTGTTTAGAATTGTCCAGTGGTCATCCTGATGCTGGAAACCAACACACATTGGGCCTCACTTCACCCATGTAAGAACTGGAGCCCTGGCAGGTCTCCTTAGGGCCACATGTTCATGGAATATAAGCCAAGTTTGCCTTAAGGCACCCTCTTCCCATTTTCTGCCCTGGTCCACTTCCCACTCACCTCCACCTCTTTGCCAGGAAGGGATCAAAATGCCTCCATACCAGTCGTTAATGGCTGCATATTTGCTCTTCCCAAGGGGATTTGCATTCTATTGAGGAACATGGCCTTACATTCAAGGAATATCTAGCATCAAGATTACGAGGCATCACCTCTCGATCAGGTCGGGGAAATATCTTGGGGCATTGCTGTTCTGAACACCCACAGAGGCTTCCTCAGGTGAGCTCGGGAGCCCGGAGGGGTGGTCTCCCTAACCACTCTGCCTGCACGTGAATTCCGCAGAGCGGTGGGCCCCCATCTGTCTCAGTTTCACATGCCTGTCAGCAAAAACTTGGTGAGATGCACTCTCTCTGTTTATTAATTGATTTAAAGCATACATCCCTCGTGTACTCTGAGGCACATCATAAATAGTACACAGCATAGAAACTTTAAATGAATAAGATGCAAAATATTACAGAGGTTCTGGCATTTTCTCTCTGAACTCCTGAGGAGGACTTTGGGTACCCCCTGGTATATGCACACCCCATTTTGAACACCCCTGCTTTAGCAAATCAGCACAACAAATAGCATCCCAGACCAACGTGCGACATTGGCCTGCAGAATAAGGAAGTCCTAAGACGTAGTCCCCCGGCACTTCGAATCTGGGAGATGAGGCAGGAAAACTCACTCGCAAACATCATAAGTGTAAATAATTCAAAACCCCAAAGGAGAGCTGTCCCTAGACAGTAGTGGCTACAGGTGCTAAGCAAAGGTCAGGTACACTAGACAGAGCCATGCGATTGTTCATCTTCCCTCTCTGGGTCTCAGAAAAGGACAATGGCAATATCCCCAGCTCTCTCCTGACTGGAATTCTTTGAACCCTCGAAGTGCTCCAGCAGTGCTAACCCCCACGCAGCAGTGGGCCCATGTCGCTTGAATACTATTTTTGATTTGACCACCAAGATGTTATGATGATTCTATTCCATTTTGAAAAGGGTCTGAGAAAGTGTACAGGTCTAATTATATATACATATTTATACATGTGTATTTTTGTTTATTGTTACATTTTGACATTGGACTTTCTATTAAATAATTTTTAAGAGTTGGCCTGGCTTTGTTCTCTTTTTTGTCTTTCTTCTTTCCTTTCTCATGGAGGAGGTCATTCTAAATGTCTGCAAAAGACCCTGTTGGCATCCTTGTCCCGCCTCTCTTCTGCCTTCCCTATTGCATATACATAAGGGCTTCTCTTTCCATTCCTAAATGTTCTGTTTTTACAGGATATGTGGCACAGCAGACACCCACGTGGAAGGCCCCCAACCTTGCTGTCACTTCCTCCAACTTTCAGGGACATCCCACATCAGCCTCAGCAAATTCACAAATTCACAGACTTGAGGAAGGTACAAGAATGGGCAATGCATAAAATAATGCCATGAACCTCTCACACACTCCCCACCGCACACAGACATGCACACACATGTGGCCTTGGACAAGTCCCTTAACCTTTCTGAGCCTAGTAGAAACAATCATTTTCTCATGAGTGTGACTTGAGGAGATCCCACAGTAAGTGCTTAATAACCTTCTGTTGCACAATGACCCTTTTGTTTATTCATTCAGCCGACGTTTGTTAATTGCACAGTGTATGCCAGGGCCTGGGTCACCCACATGGGGGCCGGCGATCTGTGAATCTAAGGAATTCCCCACTGCAAAGTCAAAGGCCAGAGCAGCAGCATGAAGGATGAGGCCAGTACCATACAGTCTCTCACGTAGCCCACTGTCAACTCTGACTACCTGGCACGTTTTGGAGACTGGAAACATGGATTCTCCCGTGGTGCTGGCCTTCCAGATTTACTGAGCAGAAATGTGCACGCGCAGTCTCAGGGCACTTTGTCAAAGCATGAAGCCAAAAGCTGTTTTCCTCTGCTCTGCCTTCACTGTTACATGAGCCTGTCCATTTCTGACAAGCATTGGTCCCATCAGCCCAGCCAGCCTTCCGCCCTTGCTCTCGGGAACAGATTGTCTTCATGATTTCCAACTGGTGTGGTGAGGAGGGACAGAGAGAGAGAGGTCAAGCCAAGGACGGGGGAATTGATAACTATTCCCAGGCTGCTTCCTCCAAGCCATGGGGCTGGAATTTCAGATTTGCTGCTGAGTTTTATGAGCTGTCAAATAAGGCAAAAGGAAACCTGGGACCCAAGCTGATTCTTTCAGTAACAACAAACCTGTTTCTCCCAGCAGAGGCTCACTTGAAATCACAAAGGCCAGCCAAGCTCAAAGAGCTCCCCAACTTCACCTACTCTCTCTCTCTCTCTCTCTCTCTCTCTCTCTCTCTCTCTCTCTCTCTCTCTCTCTCTCTCTCTCTCCTCTCTCTCCTCTCTCTCCTCTCTCTCCTCTCTCTCTCCTCTCTCTCTCCTCTCTCTCCTCTCTCTCCTCTCTCTCCTCTCTCTCTCTCCTCTCTCCCCTCTCTCCCCTCTCCTCTCCCCTCTCTCCCCTCTCTCCCCTGTCTCCCCTCTCCCCCCTCTCTCCCCTCTCCCCGCTCCCCTCTCCCCTCTCCCCGCTCCCCTCTCCCCTCTCCCCGCTCCCCTCTCCCCTCTCCCCGCTCCCCTCTCCCTGCTCCCCTCTCCCCGCTCCCTTCTCCCCTCTCCCTCTCTCTCCTCTCTCACTCTCGCGCTCTCTCTCTCTCCACACACACACACACACACACACACGCTGGTCTCCTGCACCTCTGACTGGAACTTGGGGAGTTTCCTTAGTCTCATGCCAAAGAGGAGTGGAGCTTAGGAAACCTCTTGGTGTTCCCTGAAGTCTTGTTAGTGACATCAGCTTCCAGTTTACTGGTAACAGCTGGATTGCTGCCCGAGGCCAGTAACCTGGAGTTCTCTTGCTCAGAAGCAGGTGATGGGAAGTGGGATGTGAGTGATGGTGGGAAAAGGAAGCTCAACTCCACAGAGCCTCAACACTGGATGGATGGAGAAAAGTGAGGAACACAGAAGCACAGGTGAGCCACTCCTTGGGGCTCTCCAGGACATCATCACGTCTCTGCCAGACGTGCCTGCCACTGGCACTGCCCCACTTGCCACTTCCTTCCACAAAGCTCAGACGGACTGATCAGGTGGAGGAGACAAAGCCTTAACTTCCTCAGCTCACTGACTAATCCAGGCTCTCACTCTCCAGCAGCACTCAGCTTCCATCTGTGGCCAGATCTTTACCTGGTCCTCTCCAGACACTGCCATGTTCCTTTGCCTATGCTGGCTTTTGATGTCCCTTCACCAAGAAAACGCTCCCATTTCTCCCCACCATTGGGAACCGAGCCTCCTTTGAGGTCCGGTTAAAACTGACCACTCACACTAGGTCTACTCACCCTGTGACCTAACACATGCCCTTCATTCCTGCCAAAGAACATTCCCTTTAGGAGGGGCCGGGTGTGAGTGGCAAGGTGGGGTAGGAATCCCTTAAAAGGATGACCCAGGGAGAATTCTGCTGTAAGACCAGGTCCTCAAGTGCAGCTTGGGCTTCAAGAGCCAAGTTGCCATGCTGAGAAAGGTGACCGCAGAGCAGAGTCTAGTCCAGGCGGGGAGCAAGTCACAGCTGTGATGATCACAGAGCGAGGAACACCTGTGTTTAAGGACATGGCTACAGAACATACATTGTAAAGAATTTTGTAGCATTATTTCCAACGGGGAAAAGCAAGACACAATCTTGGCACCCATCCGAAAAAGAATGAAGAAACAATAATGAAGTTGATCTTGGATCAACATGGATAAACCTCACAAACATAAGAGTGAGTGAAAAATATGCAAAGTATACACTCATTTAAATAAAGCTCGAAAGCTTGCAAATCCATGTCATCTGTAATGTGTGGATACTTACACAGAGTCAAAGTATAAAAACATGCATGGGAAACACAAATACCAATCTCAGAAGAGCAGGGAGAGGGCAGGAAATGGCACAGGTGAGGGTTAACAATGGTCTAGTCTTCTAAAACCTCAGCGGAAGCAGATACGGAGACACAGGGACAACTTTCTCTGTACTCTTCTGCTTGCTTGTACTGTTCTATCATTTTTAAAGGAACAAAGAGTGCTCCAGGAGCAACTTCATGTTGGTGGCAAACCAGCTGGTTGAGCTTCAGGTGTCAGCCACGGGGGAGAACAGTGGCGGTGTGACAGGGAATGGGTACCACCCCTCTCAGAGCTCTGGTGGCTTTTCACATCTGCTTACCTCCTATTTCTATGTCCTTCTCTCTAGTTTTCCTGTGTAGATGACATGGGAAGGAGACAAAGCTTTAATCCTTTGCTCACATCGTGTTACTAAGCCAAAGTCCCAGACCGTCTCTTCCTCTGAGTCCCACAGCTTTAGTGTGCTGGATATGGGACTGGACCTCAGCGATTGCTTTCGGATCAGCTCTCACTCACCATTTTTGCCCTGGAGGAGGCTCTACTCAGTCTTCCTGGGTGTGTTCCAATTTGGCACAAAGCACCTTTTCCACATGCATGCCCCCCGACCAGGACTGCCTGCCCCCCACGTCCCAGACCCTCACACACAGGCGCTTCAGACATGCCACAACTGCTTTCCACAAGGACTCAGAGTCCCTCAGGGCAGAGCGGCCCCCAGAGCTTTGAGCAGCATGGACTGACCAGCTGAGATGATCTGGGACAGTGAGTCCCACTCTGCAAATACATGAAAAGAATCACTGAGGGGCCTTTAAATACACACACACACACACAAACACACACACACATCGCCTCTCACATCTGACCCCTCGAAAGGTCTGATATGTAACTACTACAGTGAGGGATTCTGACAAGTCTCAAGTTTGGGAGCCGGGATCTAGGGTGTAGGAAACCGTGGCGGGTGTGGAGTGGAGCTGGAGGAGAATGAGAGCACACACTCTGTTGCCGGCAGGGATTTAGTAAGACTTAGTTCCTCAGTGCAGTTCCAGACGTGCCTGCCAACAGCTCTCCTTCCAGAACTTGACTGCCCAAGAGTTGTATGGCTCAAGGAAATGCTAAGGATGAATAGGGGGTAAGAATCCTTACCACCAAAAAGAGAAAGAAGGTGTCACTCTATCAGAGCCACCTTGTTGATTCATTAATTCCTTTGGGCCACCATCATGGCTGCACACTAGAATCACCTGGGGAGCTTAGACTGCCCACATCCAGATCTCGGGTCAGTTGAGTCAGAATCTCTGGGCATGGGGCCAGGCATTGGCATTGTAAATACCATCCCACCTCAGGCGACTGAGGCACAGGGAGGGTTTGAAAACCACCTGGCCATCCTGCATGCCCCTGAGTTGGGCACTGGCAAACAAAGCTGAACAGACTAAAGCCCACCTCTGTTGCAAATACACACTCCAAGGGGCTGTGAGAGCCGGGAAAAGGAAACTTGAAAGAATGGGCAGGCTCTGTGCAGGGGCTCCCCAGTGCTGCGTGAAGGAGCATCCCTCTTGTTGAAATGGAACAAGAGAATCAACCAACTTCTACAAAACCAAGAGTTGAGGCTAGGGAAAGGTCTCAAGTTCATCTGGCTCCCAGATGTGCTTTCACTCAAGCCGTTCTGAAGAAAGAATTTTTGAAGCTACCTTGACAGGAGACCTGCTAACATCTGCTGAGAATTCCTTTTCTGAGCAGGAGTTTTATCCCTCAGAGCCAACCTCAGGCAACAGCCCAGACCTGCTCCTGCCCTACCCTTTCCTGAACCAGCTGCCCCCCACCCCTCAGAACACCCCTGACTGTGGAAGGCACATGCAGGCTAGAACAGGCACCCAGGCAATGAGCCCCTTCTCCACAAGATGTAACCGACAACCCGCAGGGAGAGCAAATCCCCGGGAACGCCTTTGTATGAAGGAGGGATTCCTGGCTTAAAGGGGCTGAGGACAGTAGCTGCTTGTCCTCTCAGCAGGGTCCCCTCCATTGAATAAACAGAAAAGCAGGACTTACACACCTGATGCCTTTGGAAGGTGGATCGGGGTTGTTATTATCATGGGGGCCACAGTGGTTGGATTCCTGGTAAAAGATCATCCCAATGAGTTTCGAAATTGCCAATTGGTATGTTACCCAAGACCTATGCATCACCTCATGTTGAGCAGCCAGGCTCATGGCTGGAATTTCA